CTATAATATTCTATAGACTGCCTCATAGGGGGAGATATTATAGCTCCAATATTATAAGTCATAGCTACCAGCGCTTTGCGCTGGCAGGCGGATTGGCACCCATAGGTATTTGTTTTAGATGTAATTAGGAAGATTGCTGCCCATCTCCTGGTTTTTTCCCTCTGTCGCCCCTTACTAGACCTATGGCACAATATGGAGTAGTGGATTTATTTATTCTTACACCGCCACTATTTATGTGTATAAACTTTGGATTACCCGTCCAAACTCTACCGAGAGACCCCTGGTACCATATGATAGCTTGGACTTAAATAAAATATATTTTTTTATTAAAAATATTCTAGCAATGCCAGTAATGATAATTACTATTATTCTCTTTTATCACTCCTTGTAAGCTTGAAACGCTTGTGTGATTCGACCCCACATTTTTTATAGGATAAGGGTTACAAACGAGCACATAGTCCACATGCTAGTAAGTGGTTGCTGTGGCCCACAGACATCTACATCTCTCCCCGATAACGTATCAGAATGCAGATGCGTTGTCAACCGTGAGGACTAAAATGGAATGCCTTGTTTCCAGTGTAAACGGTCACCGGTTCTCTACACTTACCTACCATACGAAAGACAGCAGCGTTAAACTGCTATTTTGCACTGGTATGCGGTGAGAGCGTGGTCCTTCCCGATAGAGCAGAGCCATTCGTGCTACAACTATATAAATCGCGGCACGTAAGTCTAGCGGTGACTGTATCATATGGTAGTAAGCGGGTCGTGGGGCAGACGTGCGTATCGTTCACACGCGCTGATTGGCTCTGCGTATCATTCACACCCGCTGATTGGTTCTCCAGTCACATTCCGTCCCCCGTGCTGATACGTGATATGTGCGCGACAGTACCTACGCGCAGCTATCCCTTCCTCATTTCGTTCAGCGCTAGACTTACGTGCCGCGATTAGTACTACAAATATAGCTGCAGCATGGCTCTACCACGGCACTTGAGTTCGTGGTTTGCGCACCATTAGAGTTGTATTAAAAATGGTGTCAAGTAAATACTTATTAAGTTTGAATGGATTTCGATTTCGGATTATTCTCATCTTTAGGCCCGGCGCCGGGTTGTTTGCCTGATGTATCCCTTTGCACCCTGGGTAACAGATGTTTATGTTTGACTGTATATCAATGACATTTTTTGTGATTCAATATTTATATTAATGAAATAAAACAACAGGAATAAATATCAATTAGCTTTTAATACATTACAGTACAAACCTCATGGCACCGCGTAAAGGCACGTCCGAAACTCTGTCTATGCGTAAACATAACCTAGCTATATACACATTACTATAACCTACAACTGTAAATCTTCGTTGTTCCGAATTAATATTAACAACATATCTTCTGATTTCAAGGTTATAGGTATGTAACAGATTATAAAATAATTGACAAGCTCATAAATGTTGGTAGCCCTGAAGGAGAATACGAAAACATTGTAAATAATAAATATACATGTCATTTTTTAAATGTTAATATATTTTATAGTTATTTTTTTTATTTCATAGTAGTCAAAATTTTATATAAATTATTAATTATAGTCCAACACAAACTAAATCATATATTTTTATAACATAGCAAGAAAATTTTAAAATAAATACTCAATACATATCCATAAACTTGAAATCATTCCTTAATACTGGCTTAAAATAATAAATTAAATTTGTACGTCTCTATAATTACATCATTTTGAAAAATCACATTCAGTGGCCGAATGCCTCTCAGCCGCAAACATAACTCCAACCTTAGTGAATGGCCGCATAAAAAATTATTTATAAATAATAATTGATGCCAACAAAAAGAAAATGTTACACAGTTAGTTACAAATTATATTAGAAAATAATATAATAAAACACAGAAAATGATTAGCATTTGCAGTTTTAAGATTTGTTAATAAATTTTTGGCGCCAACTTTTTTTTTTAATTTAAAATTTGCTTATCGGCACGGGCAATAAAATTTCGTTCAACAAGAATCGAAAGCGTGTTCCAAAATTGCAAGTTACCTATTAGAAGTTTTGAAATTTTATATAGAAAACATTATATAAAAATATATTAAACTATGCGCCTATCTAAATTATAAGTTGTTTTTACATAATATAAAAAGCGTACATAGGCATTTAACATACGGTGGCAGAACGAACAGTAAACACGTAACAAAAATATATCATCAATCGCTAAAAACAAAGTAACAAAATAGTTATATTGCTTCATGAAAGCATCCTTTAGAATATAAATACAAATGTTAAAGGCTTATTACTTCATGGTTTTTTAATTATGCTTAACAAGTCATGCTGACCATATACATATAAAGGAGAACATCTAAAAGTCAACCTGATGCTTTGTTATATACTGTTTTTTCATATTAAAATACATTTAACACATTAATTTTAAATCAGGGATTAAAAAGGTTCCAAAACGGGTAAGGTGCGGTTCTCATACTAAAACCGAACTGAAACTATAACTTAAATAAGAACCGTTAGGTGTCTTTATTGTATATCGATACGAGTAAGAGTAAAGAGCGAAAACAACTTGTTTGATTTATTGAACTGACGGTCACAAAATAACATTTTTTGGTGCAAGTCATCTATCAGTTAAAATAAAATGAAGAAGCAATAAATAATTTAAAAATAAAGCTAAACTACAACGCCAAGTAAAACCTACACACCCTTGATTTGCATCCTGAAAAACTCGTATTTCGGAACCAGTTTTAAAAATGATACAGTAAACGGAAGCCGAACCGTATGAAACTGGAACCTTTGTTAGAACTTTAATAAAGAACTATTACGAATTTAGTATGCGTTTTCCATCCAAGAATTCCAAAAATTGTCAATATAAGTCAATATAAGTTCAATATAAGTACGCACAACCAACATTTAATTTACAAATACGTATCAAATCATTTTACAAGTTTACATTTACAAGGCAATTAAATAAATTGCGCAAAATTATTTATCGTAATTTTTTGTTTCATATCCAAAAACCCGTTTCAATTTACATTTATAATAATTTAGTTAAAAATATATAATAATAATAGTAATGTAAGAATTGGAAAAAGTAGACAAAATATAAGGTATTTATAGCAGTTACTTTGTTAGTGGTTTACTACGTAAAATAAAATATTGCATTGTAACCAAGTTAATTACAGGGATATTATCTATTATCTGTGCAAACATATGTATGGATTCAAATTAATAAATTAAGTAGATTTTAAGTTATATCCATACAAACATATGAAATTTTATTAAGTGAATTTAAGTTATATTATACATATTAAGTCTGTTTTACTCATGCATTATGGCAACATAATTTTAATATAGATTTAAGTACAAAACATATATATGAAGTCTAAATTTAATGGGTCATGTAATGTTGTATTCATGAATGTGTATGTATGTCATAAATGTATTCAACAAAATGTAGAATCCATAAATGTATAAGTTTTAGCAATCATCCATAACATTATTTAAAATAATATCTATACATTATCGTAACTATTCTTTAAAGTTATTACATTTTAAAACGAATATGCAGTAAAATTTATATAATTTTGCGCAAAAATGATCACAGAATCAAATTCTTAAAATATGACATGTAACATTGGAACAAATATAAGGAGATACATGTTTTTTTTTTTAATAAGACATTAAAATAATAAAAATCGAATAAATAGATGTTTACTATGAATATATTATATGAACCTGTAAACGGATGGTCTGTTTTCTACAATTCCATTACGAATAAAATTTTATCTCTACATAAATATTGTGATGAGATTTACTTACAACGAAGTAACGGTATTCAAATATTTACAAGTCAACTTTTCAATAAAAAAAGGTAGAGTCAGTGCTCTAACAACCATGTAACACTGATCATTTAATTATATTTTCTAATGCAACTGTCTACAAATGTGAAGTATGTTTCATCATTACAGCCTTTCACAAGTCCATTGCTAAACATAGGCCTCCCCCAAGGAACCCCACAAACCATGGTCATGAACAACCTGCATCATCGACTTCCTGCACCTGTTACCAGGTTACTCGCATCTAGTAGTTGGCCGCACTACACTTCATTTACCGGTACGAGGTTACCACTCGAGAACTTTTCTTTTCCATCGGTTGTGGGTTATATTGCCGGCGAATTGCCACGCATTGCACACTTATGTAGAAACCTTTTATGTCAAAGCCATTTTTTAAATAAATTCGTTGTGAAACATGAATCTAACTAGGACATATATTTCACTAGTATATTTTCATATTAAATATATGAACCACCGTGTAGTGGCAGTGTAAGAATATCCACTACCGCATATCGTCGTCTCGTGGGTGTCGTAAGAGGCGACAGAGGGAAACTGAAACAGGAGATGGACAGCAGCATCTTCCTGATTACAATTCAAATTAGTAAAAAACTGCGGTTGCCAACACGCATGGCAATCGTGACAACTGTGGCCGTGGATAGAAAAAGGGAGATCTCCCGCAAGGTGCTCTGCCCGGGGAGCGGCCAATGCTCCTGAATGGCAGTTCGGAGCTATTGTATATATATACTGCTTTTACTTCGGAACTTTGATAGTGCGATTTAGGTTTCGATGTATTTCGCTGGTAGCGCGACGACAGCGACGCCACACAACTATTATAGCAGGCCTATGTATAGCAGTGTACTTTTATAGTCTGTAGTGGTAATGGAAATATATGAACTGAATGAGAACATGTTACATTTCCGTTTTTTTTTTACATAGAAATAGAATTTACACTTTCTCATATACTTTTCTTTAAAAGTATACATCAAGTGCTATACTATATTATCTTTACAAGGCAACATTGGTTTAAAAAAACACTAGCCTGTCATCATTTTGACAACAATACGAGACTATTAAATAAATATCGTTTTAATAATTAATTACTTCCTCTTAGAATAATGCTTTTTGACTTTGAAATTTGTAAATATCGGAATAGTTTGCGTGTTGCTACGCTCGTGCCGAGGTGGGGTGGTAGGTGATGACGTTGTGCGCGTGCGTGAAGGGCGGCACGGGGGTGGGGGAGTGCGGCGCGGCGGGCGAGGCGGAGGGCGAGGGCGAGGCGGAGGGGGAGGGCAGCTGCACGGCGCGGTTCTTGCCGCCCAGCGTGCAGCGCGTCGTCACGCCGCTCTCTACTTCCACCGTCAGTTCTGATCCCGTTAACCTGTAAAAAAGAACATCATATATTAAATAAATGAGGTAATCTAATGCAATAGGCCATCTATATTAGCTCAGGGTTATGTTTTGTGACATTTTCTTAGTGGACGCCTATATTTAGCAGTAGACTAGTGAAGGGCTGTAAACATGATGATAACAGTAAGCTGAACTTACAGCACATTTGTCAGCAACGTACACGCCATATTTTATAAAATGCGATAGGCATCCGAATAAAACACCAACATTCATTGACGAGAACAGACCATTTATTTCTATAACATATTTAACTTGTGATTCCGAAGAGAATCAATTGGTTGCGCGATTTACAAAGGGATAGCGCCATCTATGGAAAGTTTTTATAACTAAAATAATCGTACTGTATACCGTGTTAAATGTTGTTGGAAACTATGAAGCTATCTGTTTACAATGAATTGATATTAGTTTAATCTACAATAATGTGGATATTTATTTAACAACTAGACATTCCGCCCACCATGGCCAGAATGGTCATTATTCCCGCCCACCATGAATCAACAATCAACGAAAGTGGACTGTAAATAGATAAGGTAAAATATGAAAGTGGGTAGATCCAAATGGTTGAATCATGGTGCATAGGTAACAAAAAACAAATAGGTAAATAGGATCTTTAAAATCCTAGAAATCTTATTAAATAAAGAATCCAAAGATATTTAATTTAAACATTTACATTTACAACATGCTCATTTCACCAAACAAAAAACAACTTAAGCTTGAAAATAACAATAAACGTGTCAAGCATTGACTGACACGAAAGAGAATAAAAAAGTAGGCATTATTCTGCCACTGGCAATACACACAATTTTACAATAGGCCTTTTAATTATGGCATCTTTGCATTTGAGACTCACAACCCGCGTAATATTGTCCACACCCTTATGTTTTTCTATAATAATACCCATAAGCCATTTCGCTGGAGGAAGATCATCCTCCTTAACTAAAACTAAGTCCCCAATTTTAGGCTCTGGTGTTTGGTTTGCCCACCGGTGACGTTGCAGAAACTGAGTCAAATATTCGCTAGACCACCTTCGCCAGAAGTTCTGTAACATTTTCTGAGTTAGTTGCCAGCGTTTCAGAGAAGATATTGACGAAGTTTCATAATTGGCATCTGAGACAAGCACCAAGGGTTCACCGATGATAAAATGTCCCGGTGTGAGCGGTGTTGGATCTTGTGCATTGGTGCTAACCTGTGACAACGGTCTAGAGTTAAGACATGCCTCAATTTGATACAGCAGAGTAGATATCTCCTCGTAAGTTAGGGTCTCTGTGCCGATCACACGCTTCAGATGATGTTTTGTGGTCTTTATCCCACTCTCCCAAAGTCCACCGAAGTGAGGAGCTCTCGGTGGGATAAAATGCCAGTTAGTCCCAGCAGTAGCTAAACTCTCAGCGATTTCTCTCGTCATGGTTGAATTTTCCTGAGCTACTAGGGTTCTTAGCTCGCGCGCAGCACCCACAAAATTTGTTCCATTATCGCTGTAGAGATCAGCGCAATGGCCCCGTCTAGAAACAAACCTTTTGAAGGCTGCGAGGAATCCCTGTGACGTAAGATCGGTTACGGCTTCCAAATGTACGGCTCTTGTAGCCATACATACGAATAGGCATATATATCCCTTGTACGCTCGATGACCTCTTCCTTTAGAAGTCCTTATCTGGATGGGTCCAGCATAATCCACGCCGCTTTGATAGAATGGGCGGATTGGAGTGACCCGAGCTACAGGTCAGTTGTCCCATGAGTTGCTGTCTACATTGTGCTGCATATCGTATACATGTGACACATTTGCGTACAAATAATTTGGTACGATTTTTTACATCGAGGATCCAATATTTGGATCGTAGGTAATTGATCATCAATTGAGGACCTCCGTGTAGGGTTCTTTGATGGGCATCTGCAATGATAAGATTTGTGAAATGCGATTTCGATGGTAGGATAATCGGGTGTTTTTTATCATCACTTACATCAGCTCTCTCAAGACGACCACCAACTCTCAAAATCCCTTCACCGTCCAGGAAAGGGGTTAAAGTGGTACGTTTGCTTTTCTTATTTACTGCACCTCTAACCTTAATATCTTTGATTTCCTGTGCAAAGTACGTAGCTTGACACGCCTTTATGCTGATTTGAATTGCTCTTGATAGTTCTCTGCAAGTTAACCAACCTGGAAATGTTGTTGCTTCAGTAGATTTTTTCGTCTTTGATATAAATCTCAAACAATAAGCTATAACTCTGGTCAATTTCTGTAAAGACGAAAACTTAATCCATAATTCAAATTCATCTTCCCTGGTCACATGACAAACTTTCTTTCCTTTCTCTTCCAAATCCGTGTCGCTTAACTCCTTCCTGTTATATTCCATATTCGTGTCCTTTAACCATGCAGGTCCAGCTTTCCAGAGGGGAATTGCTTCACATTCCGACGGGTTGACTCCACGGGAAGCGCAATCTGCCGGGTTGTCAGTAGATGACACATGTGACCACTGATCTCTGTTCAAAATGTTCAAAATTTCTGAAACTCGATTTGCAATGAACGTCTTCCAGCGGCTTGGATGACTGCTCAACCAAGCCAAAACGATTGTGGAGTCCGTCCATGCATGTAGATTTGTCTTCGGTACTTTCAAAACTTCAGAGACTTCCCTTAATAATCTCGCCAAAAGAACGGCGCCGCACAACACTAGCCTCGGGATAGACACTTGCTTTATTGGGGCTACCTTGGTTTTACACGTAATGAGAGTAACCCTGACAGTTCCAGATTCATCTACCACGCGGGCGTAAACTACAGCAGCATACGCATCCGCAGAGGCGTCACTGAATCCGTGTAACTCCAGTTTCATACATGTCTTGTTCATACCAATCCAGCGCGGCAGACGAAATTGTGTAAGTGCCGTAAGTTCACCTCGATAAGAAATCCAATCATTGAGTAGTTTCGGTGGGAGCTCTTCATCCCAACCGATTCCCGCTAGCCACAGCTGCTGAATGAAGATTTTTGCTTTTATAATGGCTGCAGCAATCCATCCCATAGGATCAAACAGTCTTGCAATATCTGATATAACCTTTCTTTTTGTTATAGGTTCTACGAGTGGCGGTAGCTGCACGGAGTATTCGAAGTTGTCGGTACGTCGATTCCAGGTAAGTCCGAGTATTTTAATGATTTCATCTATTTTGAGTTCCAAATTGCTTTCTGTTGTTTCTATTTCTTTGCTTATTTCCTTTAACAGAGTTTCATTGTTGCTTGACCATTTCTGAAGTTCAAACCCCCCTTTGCTCAGTAATTCGTTGATCTCTTTATAGATTTGTTTTCCTTCCAGGACTGTTTCGCAGCCAGTAAGTAAGTCATCCATATAAAAATCATTTAAGATTCTTTCAGATGCTAATGGAAACGGTTTTCCGTCATCATACACGAGCTGGTGCAGTGTTCTAACTGCGAGATATGGGGCTGCAGCAGTGCCAAATGTGACTCGCAACAATCGAAAATGTTCAATAAGTTGTTCCGTCGTGGCTCGCCAAACCAATCGCTGGTAATCTATATCTTCACTAGAAATCAATATTTGGCGATACATTTTAACTATGTCGGCGACCAAACATACAGGGTGAAGTCTCCATCTCATCACCAAGTGACGCAGATCCGATTGAAGAGTTGGACCTATCATCAATTCACTGTTGAGAGCTACACCGTTGTTATCGCGACACGAAGCATCGAAGACAACTCTCAGTTTGGATGTTGTCTTGTTAAGTTTCACTACGGCGTGATGAGGTAAGTACACACTATCTGATTTGTTGATCTCATCTTTTGGTACCTTTTCCATGTGGCCATGTTCCAGGTATTCATCAATAACGTCGGAATAGAGATCTTTAAGCTGTGGTGAGCGTACTAAACGCTTTTCTTGCATAAGGAATCTGCTCACTGCAATTTCCCGCGAATTCCCTGATTTGCAGCTCGGGTTTTCCATCTTGAATGGTAGTTTGACGATATATCGTCCTGAAGGGTCTCTTTTGGTGGTTTTCTTATAGAATTCCTCACATCTTTGTTCCTCAGGTGTGTGGTGAGTTTTGTTGAGAAGACATTGATCAGATTCGATTTCCCAAAATTGTTTAAGATCAAATTCTTCTTCGATAACTTGAGTGTGTAAAGTGGTTACGGAGTTACTACAGCTTGATTCCGTTTTACGACCTTCAGATACTTGGCCCGACAAAATCCAGCCGAATCTAGTGTTTTGCGCTATAGGGGTTCCTATTGGACCTTTAAATAACCCTTCTAATAATATTTGACAATAGACCTCTGCACCCAACAGCAAGTCTATTTTGTTTGGAACGTTGAAATTTGGATCTGCCAATCTCATTTTTGGCATATAATATAGCTGTATGTCAACCTGTCGTTCAGGAAAAAATGTGGTAAGTTTGGTGAGCACGTGTGCACTCACTTTAATGTTGAAGGTTGGATCATGGATCGATTGTAGTTTGATGTGTACTACATGTTTAGAGTTGCACTCACTCCCTACTCCAAATATGACACTTTTGCTTGTTTCCTTCTTCAGCCCAAGTAATTGGACTGCAGACTCCGTTATAAACGAAGCCTGTGATCCTTGGTCCAGTAAAGACCTAAGTGTCATAAAAGATACGTTGTTTGTTTCAGCTTTTACTAAAGCGGTTGCTAAAAGCACTTGGCTCTTGTTGTTAGAGAAACAACAAGAGCCAAAAAGTGGTAATGTTGGACTGATCATTTTCGTCTGATGCTGTCGCTGTTGCCGCGACAACATTGTTACTATTCGATTGAGTGGTTACCTTTACATTATTTGATTGAACGTTGGTGGTGGTTGAATGCAATAGCGAGTGGTGTTTCTTTTTGCAAATTCTACATCTGGTGGGCAAACGACACATTATGACCGAATGATTTGCGCCTAAGCAGTTAAAACACAAGTTGGAGGTTTGGACAAAGTTACGGCGTGCTAATAGAGTTTCATTTGCGAACTTCTTACAATTTCCGAGCTTATGATCATTAGCAGAACAGTAGGAACATGGAACAGATATCTTGTCATTATTTTTTGTGGTTACATGATGGGATTGAGTACATTTTGTGATTTTAGGATTCAAAAATTCGAGTGATCTGTACCTGTGTTCTAAAAACTCTAAAAATTGCTTTAATGTGGGCAAGTCGTTTGTACAGTCACAAATTTTTGCTTCCCACTGCTTGCGAGATTCACTATCTAATTTTGAGGACAAAAGATAAATCACAATAATATCCCAATTTTCCTGCGTTTTGGTCGGTACGCGAGTACATTTTTCCAAGCTTGCTTTTAATTCTGTTTTATAATCTGCGTATAAGTCTTCTGTTTTGGTGTAAAAATCTTCGTTAAAGTAATCTAATTCTGCATAATCAGCATCACTGACTTCACTAATAAGTTGTTCATGTACTTTGTTAAATGTTTCCCACTGTCCATTCAAAATGTCAATTCTAGTTTCTATGTAGTTTGAAGTTAGCCTATCTTTTGGAGATTTCTTAAAATTTACTCTGGCATTTTCCATTCGGTGGTACATATCTGACTGAGCTCTTATTTTGCTTTCCATTGTTACCTTTATTTATTTGAAATATGACAATTTTTTTTTACAAGTCCCGTTGAGTGGATAGAGCAAGTTATTTTTTCTATGTCCAGTATGTGCGTGATTTTTCTAAGTGTTTGGGTTGTACACACTTAGGCAAAATCGGGCATGGATTCCCCGTCTCAACCACAATTCAACATAAAATTTTACAAGTCCATGTACTACTAATAAATCTTCAAATTTTTCTAAGTTGAATATCTCTTTGCTTTAAGGTTCAATTTATTTTCAATTTCAAACTTCTATTGCCAATACTGATTTAAATGTACTTACAGTTTTACGCCCATACAAACTTGCTCTCCTCAGTTGCGTCTGCTGCTCAGCTCCGTACAATTCACCAACCGCTAGGAGTGGGCGATACAAATCGTATATAGATACAATATCTATATATCAGTACAATATCCAACATCTATATATCCGATGACAAACTAACTATGTATTAGATATTACGATTTTACGATACGGTGTTGATATGAGTCATCGCAGAATATCTAATATCTACTCAAAACCGAAACGTAAAATATCTAAATATGTACACTGATTCGGATACCGAACAAACCTTGAGCGCGATAGAATATATAGCTAAAACCGATATTACGACTACTTTACAACGAAAAGGTGATACGCTTACACTTAATATTTTTAATATTAATCTTTATTAGTAGTACCATACGATTTATTACAGAACACATAATTTTAAATATCCAGTCTAAGTAGTATAATTTTATTATTACTTTGTTGTGTTGCACTGTTTTCAAAATATACTATTTTAGATCTTATTGTGTATTTAATAGAATATTATTTTTGGTATATAAATTAAAACTGAGAAAATTATGAAGGAAAGTTTATTTCACCGATTCTGAAAAACTATACTCGCTTTCTAGATATGGGATGATTTCCTTTGGCGTAGGGGTATAATATAACCACTAACCATAACCACAAGTGTGGCATAAAATATAAAGGTTTCATTTTATAGCAAATAAATATTGCAATCCTTATTTTTAAACATGGAGAGCCTCAAGTTAAGTATATTAAATTAAAATAACATTAAATATTTTTAAAATATTATTCTTTAGAGGAAAGGAGTAAAAAATACTTTGTAAAAGTACCTTCTAGATTCTATACGTAAAGTGATTTTATCGAACAAAAATTGATTAACGCTCAAGGCGGTACGTACATTATACGCTAGATGGCATAAACACGACACGATTAAATTTAATATTCTATTTCATTATCTCGCAGGATAAATCCTACTTTTTATATTATGAGATACATTAAGAATACTTACATTACATAAATAATACAATATATCTATAAATCAATATATGGAAATTTGTTCATAAATCGCGTATCACAAATGTGATACTGAGTAGGTACTGGCTTCTTTTCAGAACGAATATATTAACAAATATATAGATATTGAAATATATAGATACAAAATCGGATTTTCATATCCAATACATAGGTACGATTTGATATAGGGTAAATGTGATATTACCCATGCCTACCAACCGCTAGGTGTCGCCACTGCTCACTGGTTCACTTCACTCTACATCCGGCTCGAAGGACCATGAATAAAACACCAACGTTCATTGACGAGAACAGACCATTTATTTCTATAACATATTTAACTTGTGATTCCGAAGAGAATCAATTGGTTTCGCGATTTACAAAGGGATAGCGCCATCTATGGAAAGTTTTTATAACTAAAATAATCGTACTGTATACCGTGTTAAATGTTGTTGGAAACTATGAAGCTATCTGTTTACAATGAATTGATATTAGTTTAATCTACAATAATGTGGATATTTATTTAACAACTAGACACTCAGTGTCGTCTAATGTTGCCAACTTAGTAGATTTTCCCCTAAAAATGGGGGTTTCGATTCTCGTTTCGAAATATATTTTATATAGGTTTTGTTATATGTAGCAATTCTTGAAATTTCTTGTATGTCAAATGCTAATCTGAAAAAATCGTTCATCCTCATCTAATAAGCCTTTAAATAAAGTATATAATTTTCCATACAATTGCCTTTTTAAATCAATATTGTGAATCCAGAATCTTCTTTTTCTTTCAATTTTACAATAACATTTTTTTCCATAGCGATCTGAACGATTCCGGGCAATCCGATGTACCGTTTCACACCAGTGGTTTAGAAAAGACAGCTAAAGTTGTTAGCAATACAAAAGATTGGCGCGTACGTGCGTTGAGCTTTACAATGAAGGAATGGTGTGAAGAAATATGATTTCAGTTTATCGGATATTTAGTGGCTACTGCAGCCCATGGACACCTGCAAACCTCAAACAATTGGTTGACTGATGCGTAATCATTTCTGAGGATTAAGATACAATGCCTCATACCACGTAATTTTGTGTGTTACCCATGTGCGTGATTGTGCGTTGTGGTGGTGTGTGGTGCTTGTGCATGGTGTTGCTTGGTGGTGCATGCTGGTGGTACGCATTGCTAGTGCGTGTTAGTGATGGTGGTGTTTGGTGGTGCATGGTGGTGATGATGGTGTTTGGGGGTGCGTGGCAGCGGTACGTACGCGCGGTAGCGGTGCGCGAGCACGCCCAGCAGCTCGCCCACCAGGTCGGGCGCGGGCTCGTCGGGCGCCACCAGCCCCAGCACCAGGTCGTTGCGCGCGCTCGGCACGCTGATCACCGCCAGCTGCGCCTCGTTGCTCATCACCCGAACCGCACCCACCTGAATAACAACCATTAATTTATTTATCTATACTTTATTACGTTTATTTAAATTTTGTTGCACAAACATTTACAAATGCAGATTTAACAACTTTAAGACGTTCTCTACCAGTCAACCTATAATTGAGCAAAGAACACTACTTTGGAGGCCCAATTTGATTTGTAAGAGAAAGAATTAAGGATAAATACAATAACTACATATATGAAAACTAGCTGACCATGCAGACGTTGTTCTGCCCTTTCCGTCGACCATTTACTTTCCTAAAAAAAAAAACTATCCTATCTCTCAAGTTAGATCAAACTGCACACAGTGTGCAAAATTTCATTGAAATCAGTTCAGTAGTTTAGGAAGGAGTTCATCGCGGACAAACAATGTGACACGTAATTTTTATATATAAAAATTACTTAAGTATATGTATTACTTACTTATACATAAATATTCATAAACACACACACATGCACATACATTACAATATATACTTACAACAAAATAATACAAATGGCGGATTGAGGACTGCCTTGAGGCATTCTCTTACATTCAACCCATGGAGTGGTGAGAATTTGACGTAAGTGTAACAATCCATACTCCATACTAATATTATAAATGCGAAAGTAACTCTGTCTGTCTGTCTGTCTGTCTGTCTGTTCCTCTTTCACGCCTAAACGGCTGAACGGATTTTGATGAAATTTGGTATGGTGATAGATGATAATAGGCTATAAATAATAGGCTATAAATAATCACGCCATCGTTCTTAGGGGGTAGGCAATAGGCAGATAACTAAATTGAGTTAGTGATTTTTTTATGGTTTTTGGTGGGAGTTTTGCTCTATCATGCCTAAACGGCTGAACGGATTTTGATGAAATTTAGTTAGGTGATAGATAGTAACCTAGAAAAGGATATGGGCTATTAATATTCATGCTATCGTACTTAAGGCGTAGGCAGTAGGCAGAAAACTAATTAAGTTAGTGATTTTTAATAGTTTGGTTTAAAAGTTTACCTCATTCACGCCTTAACGTCTGAACGGATTTTTATAAGACTTGGTTAATATAAAGATAGGATCCTAGGCACGGACACAGGCTACTTCTTACGGCGGGAAAATACCTCATTCCCGCGGAAATCTAGCGTGATCGTGTCAAGAAGCGAATGACGCCATAGCTACTGAAATGATTTTGATGTTTTTTTTTTTAAATGAGTGTTACTAAGACTTAAAGTTAGTATTTGATCACTTTTCTAACTTAGAGGGTCGGTAGGCGCCATAATTTAGGGAATTTATTATAAAATTTTGATGCATCTGTCTTTATTTAACAGTTTTACTTGGATCGAAACTTAGCGACATACCATCACACTACTTAACTTATAGGGTAGGAAGGTACCAAAATTCAGACTACTTTTTACTTCGGGAAAATATCTCATTCCCACAGGAACCTATACACAGCTACCTATCTACAACATTAAAACTCTGTCTAGAATCACATTACGCCATAGCTATTGATCTGATTTGTATACGATTTTTTATTCAACTGACTGTTAAATTACATACAGATAAAATCTAATTACCTACACCACAGAATTAATATAGTACTACATAACTAGCTACGCTTTAAACTTGAGGAGGTAATTAGATAGACATTTATACGAACTTTATGCTCAGTAATCAATCATAGTGATAAGTTAATACTCATTTTAGACAAAGAAACGGATAGGTAATCAGTTCATCACCGAAATTATAACACCTACACTTAGTTTGTTTACTATTCAACGAGGGAAAATAATTCAATATAACGCAAACCTTCAAATCATACGTCGTCGTAGTGAATACAAGACGCTGCGCCGAGCGAAGAGGCAGTGCGGCGCGAGGGGAGGGCCGTGCCCAACTGTGCCTACCCAAGCGGGCAGACGCACGAGGGCAGACGTCGTCGTCGCACGTATGCGAATATTGAAATATTGCGTTACGAAACTCTATTCGTTGCGTATTTTTGGTTAGCTAAAAACGTTCTTTTTAAATTCCGAGTTGAAATAGGTACTACGGTCTACGCGTAGGGTCTGTAAGCTTTAATTTAGTCCTTTGTTTTAGATATCTAAATAAATATTTGGTAGGTTATTATTTTTGAGTCCAAGTTGACGTCATTTTCGTATTTTTATTAAGTACTTAGTTACATTTTTATTATTAGGTAGTTAAGGTAGGTGTTAGATGTAGGTATTTTCTTAACCAATCATTCATATCTCTAGGTTTACTCAGATACGTATTATTCTTTATTTTTGCAGTCGCTTTCATTTGTTAATTCTCAATTTTATTCATGTGTAGGTTAAGTGTTTTTTAGCTCACATCTGGATGTTTATAGTTCGTAGTAAATTAGTTTAGTAATAGATTTTGTCATTATATTATAGTACTTTTATGTTAGTTTTGATAGATAAGTAGGTAGTACCAGTAGTGAAGAAAATTGTGTATTGTGGTGTGGTACATAAATTCAATATTTTTGAATTTATTTAGTTAATTTAGGTTTTAGGTATAAAAGGTTTGTCAGGTGCATAGTTGTTTAGGTTCAATACGTTATTGATTGATTTAGATATTTAGGTTATAAGTAAAAAGGTTTGCTTTATCGAAGTTTTTATAAAAAATTGTCTTACGTTGTAGTTTTTAAAACTACCGATTTTAAAAATCTTTAATTATTGTTTTATTGTTTTCGATATGCCACGCAAACGTAAATCCAATCTAAGCCGTAGTTCTAGCAGAGCTCGAACTGCAAAAGTTGCTAGAAGCCAAGAATCTGAAGAGCAGACTCAGACGCGTCAGATGTTAGATTCTCAGCGTCATGCGACTCAAAGAGCTTCTGAGACCTATACGCAGACTCAAGCCCGTAGGACCTTAGATGCTGACCGCCACGCATCTCAAAGGGCCTCTGAGACGTTTACACAGACTCAAGCCCGTCAGGCCCTAGATGCTGAACGCCACGCATCTCAAAGAGCCTCTGAGACGTTTACGCAGACTGAGACCCGTCAGGCCCTGGATGCTGAACGCCACGCATCTCAAAGGGCCTCTGAGACCTATACGCAGACTCAAGCCCGACAAACCTTAGATGCTGAGCGCCACGCATTTCAAAGGGCCTCTGAGACGTTTACGCAGACTCAGGCCCGTCAGACCCTGGATGCTGAACGCCACGCATCTCAAAGAGCTGCTGAGACAGTGGAACAGACTCAGACACGTCGAGTTTTAGATGCCGAACGTCACGCGCAATTGATTGCGGCAGAGACTGACGAAGATTCACAAAGACGACGTCTTTTAAATGCTGAACAGCAGGCAGAAAGAAGACGTACGTTTTCAATGAGTACGTGGGAGGCATTTAATGGTGCCGCTTTTGAGTATGACCCTTTGATCGACTATGTTAATCACCGATTGGTTACCATTGGGAGAATGGATAAAAAATGCAGATATTGTGAAGCACTGAAATGGAAAGAAGAAACTCCAGGTATGTGCTGTTCTGGTGGAAAGGTTAAAATTCCATTACTTGGCGAGCCAGAGGAACCTCTTAAATCTTTACTTTTATACGACAGTAACGAATCGCGCCGGTTTTTAAGCAGGATTAGAAAGTATAATTCTTGCTTTCAGATGACGTCATTTGGTGTAGATAAGGAGGTCGTAATGCCTGGATTTTCACCTACTTTTACCATCCAAGGACAGGTGTATCACAGGATTGGTTCCTTACTTCCCGCAAATAATGAACAACCAAAGTTTTTGCAACTTTATTTCATGGGCGATGAAAAAAACGAAGCTGATCGCAGGTGTCAAAATATACAAGGAATCGAAAGGGATACTGTTTTAAAAATCCAGAGAATGTTGCATGAACATAATCGCCTTATCAATACTTTCAAAACAGCACTAGAAAGAATGCCGGGAGAGGATTATAGGTTGGTGATGCACCCCGATCGCACACCAAGTGGGGAACATGAAAGGCGGTATAATGCACCGTTAATAAATGAAGTCGCAGCCTTGGTTACAGGCGAACAGTTTGCTTTCCGTGATATAGTTTTACAGGCCCGAGATGACACATTAACCAGGGTGCCTGATACTCATAAATTTTATGATGCGTTGCAATATCCGATCATATTTAGTAAGGGACAAGAGGGGTACCACTTTCAAGTTCCTCAAATTAATCCTGTAACAGGTCTTCCCTTGCATAACAAAAAGGTTTCATGCATGGATTTTTATGCCTACAACATGATGATACGAGAAAACAACTTTAACATTGTACAAAGATGCAAGCAACTGGCCAATCAGTTTTACGTTGACATGTACGTTAAAGTTGAAAGCGAGAGGTTACGGTACATATCATTAAATCAAACTAAACTAAGAGCAGAGAATTACATCCATCTTCAAGACGCTGTGGCAAATGACGCTAATTTAAATCCAAATAACTTAGGTCGTATGGTCATTTTACCATCTTCATTTGTAAATAGCCCGCGGTACTTACACGAATATACTCAGGACGCGTTTGTTTATGTGCGTACACATGGTCGCCCTGACTTATTCGTCACCTTTACTTGCAACCCAGCCTGGCCCGAAATAGTCAATCAGTTGATGCCGGGGCAAAGCGCAATAGATAGACATGATGTAGTCGCAAGAGTTTTTAGACTAAAAGTTAAAAAACTAATGGATGTGATTAATAAAGGCCGAGTGTTCAGAGAAGCGCGCTGCTTTATGTACTCTGTCGAATGGCAGAAACGTGGACTGCCACATGTCCATATATTATTGTGGTTAAAAGATAAGTTACGACCCGATCAAATAGATAACATAATCAGCGCTGAAATACCGGATCCTAACATTGACAAGACTCTCCATGACATTATTGTAAAAAATATGATTCACGGTCCATGCGGACCCGAAAATCCACAGTGCCACTGCATGAAAGACGGAAAATGCACAAAAAAATTTCCTCGCAAGTTAGTGAAAGAGACCGTTCACAACGACCACGGATACCCGCAGTATCGTAGAAGAGCGCCAGCAGACGGAGGTCGAACAGCAACCGTGAAGCTCCGAAATGGTAGCTACGTTACGGTTGATAATAGTTGGGTAGTCCCCTATTCACCAATTTTATCAAAAATGTTTAACGCCCACATAAATGTTGAGGCATGCAGTTCAGTACGCGCCATCAAATATATTTGCAAATATATAAACAAGGGTAGTGATCAAGCTATTTTCAATTTTAGAAATACTGATCTTGCGAATCCCGTAGATGAGGTACAAACTTATCAGTCTGGTCGGTATGTCAGCAGCAACGAAGCCGTGTGGCGTCTGTTAGCATTTCCGTTGCACGAAAGGCATCCCACCGTGACACATCTCAGCGTGCATTTAGAAAATGGTGAACGCGTTTATTTTAATGAACACAATTTCCACGAACGAATAACTACTCCGCCAAAAACCACACTCACTGCTTTTTTTGATCTTTGTATCAGAGATGAGTTTGCAAAAACTCTTCTTTATGTCGAGGTGCCGAGGTATTATACTTGGGATGCAAGTAGGAAAACTTGGAAACGCCGCATTCAAGGTACTTCAGTTCACGATTGGCCTGGCGTCAAATCTGGGGATGCTTTAGGACGAGTTTATACAGTTCATGTTAGTAACATGGAATGTTTTTGTCTACGCATGCTTTTACACCATGTGCGCGGACCTACCTCTTTCAATGATCTAAAAAAATACAACACACAAGATTATCCTACATTTCGAGAGGCATGTGAGGCAAGAGGATTACTGGAGAATGACAACCATTGGGATGTGACACTGGAAGAAGCTGCTCAATGTAGATCAGCAGGCAAGATGAGAGAGCTATTTGCTGTATTAGTAGCGACATGTGGTCTTTCAAATCCTCAACAATTGTGGGATAAATACAAAAATGATATGACCGACGATATATTGCACAGATTACAAGAGCAAAATCCCAATGTCACGTACAGTGATTTAATTTACAATGAGGGTCTGACAAAAATTGAAGACCAGGTTAAAACAATTTCTGGAAAGGATTTATCAGATTATGGAATGATCAGACCACAGAGAACCGAGGAAATCAGTAGCGATTTAATACGGGAACTAGATTACGATACTGCTTCCTTACAACAACAATTGACAGAGTCTGTTCCACGTTTGATCCCAGAACAAAGGTTAGTATTTGACAATGTTTTCAAAAAAATCGAAGATGGCGAAGGTGGTTTGTTATTTTTGGATGCTCCCGGAGGCACGGGAAAAACCTTTCTTTTAAACTTGCTTTTAGCGCAAATCCGAAAAGATAAAGGAATTGCTGTAGCAGTTGCCTCTTCCGGAATAGCCGCCACTCTGCTCAATGGTGGTCGAACGGCACATTCGGTGCTTAAACTGCCATTAAACTTAGCCCATGAAGAAATGCCAGTCTGTAATATAAGTAAAAACAGCGAGCGTGGACGTATGTTGCAGCAATGTAAATTATTAGTTTGGGATGAGTGTACTATGTCCCATAAAAGAGCAATTGAAGCTCTAGATCGGACTTTGAAAGACATCAAGAGTAATCCAAATATCATGGGGGGGATGGTGGTACTTTTAGCGGGCGATTTTAGACAGACTTTGCCGGTTATCACTAAAGGCACCCCTGCAGATGAAATAAATGCGTGTTTAAAAGCGTCAACGTTATGGGTGCACGTAAAAACGTTTAGTCTGTCTACAAATATGAGAGTGCAACTACACAATGATGTACAATCTGGACAATATGCTGCTGCTCTTCTTAAAATTGGAGAAGATCGTATGGCAAAGGATGGTAATGGCATGATTACATTGGATCGTGAATTCTGCAATGTTGTGCATAATCCAGATGATCTAAATAACTTCGTCTATAGCGAACTGCTAACTAATATGAGGAATAGAGACTGGTTATGTGAAAGAGCAATTTTAGCGCCGACGAATGAAATGGTGGGACAGATAAACGAGCAAATTATGTCACGCGTGGAAGGTGATATTGTTGAGTTTCTCTCTGTAGACACTGTAATGGATACTGAACAAGTAACATCATACCCTGTAGAATTTCTTAATTCTTTAGAACTGTCGGGAGTACCTTCACACAAACTGAGGCTGAAAGTAGGCGTTCCTGTCCTTTTAATGCGGAATTTAGATGCACCAAGACTGTGTAATGGCACACGGTTGCAAGTGACACACCTCGGTCGCAATATTGTAAAAGCAATCATTATGACTGGAATGGCAAAAGGAGAGAACGTTTTAATCCCCCGTATACCCATAATTCCGACAGATTTGCCATTCCAGTTTAAGAGATTACAGTTTCCGCTGAAAATCGCATTCGCTATGACGATAAATAAAGCTCAGGGGCAAACATTAAAAGTAGCCGGCATTAATTTAGAAAAGAGTTGTTTTTCTCACGGACAATTATACGTGGCTTGCTCACGTGTTTCAAGTCCACAGAATCTCCATGTGTTGGCCAGAGAGCGAAAAACAAAGAACATAGTTTACAAAAATGTACTACAGTAATAAGGCCTCTTATTTTTAGCTTCCTACATTATTATACTACTTACATTAAGTTAGTACTTCCTACGCAGACGATGTTACGGATGTCACACTGTCTAACATCGGGGGTTGGCAGGTAGGTAGTTAGTAGTATTTTAAACCGATTTACATTATTTACTTTTTATATTTACTAAGGAAACATTCGGAGCTATCCATTATGTAGCTTAGGTTGCTTTTGAACAAATTTTGATGTGAAGTTGAGGACTGGAACACGATAGTGGGACATTGTTGCAGGGGGACTTATAGCCGGGAGAAAACAAAAAAACTTATGCGGACGAAGTCGCGGGTAAAAGCTAGTATAGAATAAAAAAACAAAATAAAATTGATATTTGAATACAATTATACAAAATAATATTTATAATTAACTACGTAATATATACATTTTACTGATATATAAACTATGCAAATATAACCTACACAAACATAATATATACAGTGAAATCTCGATAATTCGAATCTCGTAAGTCGTAAACCTCAGTAAGACAAAAACAGTTGCCATTTCCTTCCATTGGACCCAAAACACGCGGTATATCGAATTATTTAAAGTTTGCAACTCAAATAAAATGTTAATTCCCTGCGATGTATTGATAGTACATAATATATAAACTCTATAACTCGAATTTCAAAAAGCAGACTCCGTAAGTCGAAATTAGTAAAATATAATGACGTCATACTTAGAATTCCCCAAACTCATAGCAATAAAATTCAAAAGGAATGTTTGTTGCTTCTGTTCTATTGTGTGTATTTTGTACACGTGCAATATATGAATACATAGTAGATCTTTATATATAAAAATTACGTGTCACATTGTTTGTCCGCGATAAACTCCGAAACTATTGAACTGATTTCAATGAAATTTTGCACACTGTGCAATTTGGTCCAACTTGAGAGATAGGATACTTTTTATCCCGATAAGTGATCTTCAATATTTTTCTATTGCGAATTTAAGGATTTTTTCACAGGAAGGGTCGTCGGAAAGGGCGGAATAACGTCTGTCTGGCCAGCTAGTTTAATATAAATCGGTGAGTCCCGCTGGGTTGCTTGCTTGCTCTTCCCAGGACACAGGTATTTTCCGAACCAGTGGTAAATAAAAAATTACTTTCAATAAATATTATGTAATAATCTATATTGAATAAAAATTATTCTATTATATTATATTCTATAGTTATGAAATCATGGATTGTTATGAATAGATTGGTTAAGATAATTTTAATTAATTAATACATTTGTTATTTTTTACACAGTAAATAGATTTATTAATATAGTTTACACATATAAATTAGTATGTACAGCACACTTTTGTACCACCGCGCGCGCTCATTGGTCAAATAAAACAGCGCGCGTTTCCTGTTACACATCAACAATATGTATACAAATATCATCTTGGCAGTATGAAAAAACGACAATAATAAATGTAAATATACATTTCATACCTCTGTAATAGGCGTTGGCTTTTTCAACAGTTTGAACGTGTTCGCGTCGAGCTTGCATATGGAAGTATCGGTGACGAGGAGACAGCGCTCCGCCAACTTGTTGTAGCGGTTGAACTTGTGCACGCGGCACGAGAACAACGCGCGTCCGATGTGCTGAGACTTCTGCAGGCTCGCCATCGCCGACTTGTACACAGCTGAAAGTAAAAACTTATTTTAGCACTATTGTAAGATTTAACTAGGTAACAATCTTTATTAAATACCGGGTATTTGTGAAACGCTCCCGAAAACGAAGACAGACGACAGTACTAACTATACCTTTGATGATGGTTAGATATAAAATCGATCCTGACGAAAAACGAGATTAAGAGTGTGGTCGGAGAGTTTTTGTGTTCTTCTGCGGCGGGTCTTGCAGAACCCAGTAGTACCAGATGGTACTACTAGTTTAGTATTTACTTTCTTAGTATTTACAGAATGAATATCACTTATTTTTTAAACCTTGTTTATTTTTGTGTACATATTTAACATTTTCATAAATGTATTGAGAGGCCAAAGGTAATAATATTAATTTCCTTAAATTTTTGTCTGAGCAACTCTAGGTTTCTCTTAGACTGTTCTTATGGCCCTCTTCTGTAAAACAAATATAATTTCAGTGTCAGTTGCATGTACGCATATCAAAATATTATACGACATTATGCTATGGAAATAGCTAAAAATAGTCTATTTCAACACTGATAAGGATTTCTAATTTTTTTTACGGTATTAGTTGTAGAACTAAGAGTGCTTGATAGTTTTTTTTTAAATATATGGGAGCCCTATTGAAGCTTCGGGGTCTACTGTGATTTCAATAGAATTGGTGGTATCGATAAGACTCAGTTTCTCCCCATTTATAATTACATTAGTATTTAGATGTTTGAAATTTGAGGCTATAAATTTTTAGTGATATTTAAATGCAAATTATTAACGTTAAAACAACTTAATAATTTAGATATAGCATTATACATTTTGTCATATTTTAGTAATTGTTGTTTTAATTTTAAAATTATTGGAATACTAATATTAGCAAATAATACTATATCATGGGTATTTCTTACTATGTAAGATAAGTCATTAAAATATATGAGAAATAGAAAGGGGCTGAGAATTGAGCCCCGAGGCACGCCCATTTATACTACAGACTTGGAAGAACTCTGTACTATTAATGACAATTTTTTGCATTCTCTTACTTAAATATGAAATAATAAATTGAAGAGCATCATTTGTTACACTATGGTACTGCAGTTTTTTGATTAATGTTTCATGGTGAACACAATCGAAGGCTTTATGTAGATCACTAGAATATACCCAAAGTATTCTGTGAATTCTCCCGTGCATTGAAGATATATTTAATTAGCACAACACCTGTATCAGTTTTCGAGTGACCACGTGTGAAATCGAATTGATTTTTATAAAGTAAATTATTTACATGAAAATTTTTAAGATTTTATTTAAAAAAAAAGGATATCGAGAGCGGTGACATAGAGGGAGCGTGGCGTTTTACTGCTAAGATGCGTCAATAGATGTTTCAAATAAAAAAGTTTTGGACAGGTAGAACGAATGAATGAATGAACATATGAGTGAGCGGACAAATTAAGAGTACTGACCGGCACGTTGATTGTAGGTGTCCAGGGCGAGGTAGTCTCCCCGCCAGGTGCGCGCGGCGCCCCAGTGCTTGCGGCGGGCGGCCAGCGCGCTGGCGGCGCACACCTTGAGGCGCAGCTGCGGCCACTGCGCGCGCGGCACGCAGCGCAGCACGCAGTGCGCGCGCCAGCGCCGGTAGGCGGCCTGCAGCAGCGCCACCGCCGCCGCCGCCACGCGCCGGGGAGCGGCCGGCCAGCGCCGCATCACGCCGCCTCCGGCGCGCAGCTCCGCCTGCAGCTCCGAGATGTAGCGCCGGCACCGGTACCGCCTCAATACAATACAAATAAACTATAAAGCTTTGTATATACCACGAGACAAAAGGAGCGGCATGTTGCGCAACATGTCGCTCAACAACTACGTGGAATGTCCACATATTGCCAGACAAGTTGCGCACACCACTACACTAGCAAACTAGACTGCACCCGGTAAAAAAATGCGCGACACGGACGCGAGACAAATACACTCGTTTTCGGAGCGGGAACAAGCAACATGTCCCGCGTCACATAAAATGTTTCGGGCGATGTTGCGAGTCACTATGCAATATTGCATCATAACGTAAATTGAGTGTTCCACGTCATGTTGCGGAACAAAATGTCAAAATGTAATGTATTCTGGGCTTTAATATTACATCCCATGTAGTGACAGTGTAAGACAACGCAAGATTATAAAAAAAACTGCAGTTGCCGACCCGCCTGCCAAGCATGACAACCATGACAAAACCCCCCAAATGAGACAACTTATAGAGAAGGCCTATGTTCAGCAGTAAACTATTATAGAGTGAGATGTATGGATTACTCATTGAGCATTAAAAAAAGATAACTACCTAGCATCTGCTTTATACAGGGTTATTTTTCAAAGAATATCCAAATTTTATATTAAATTTCAAAGATACATTGTTATTTTACAATAACCGGCCAAATTTGCAGCGAAGATTCAAAATAACTAATATAGGAAAATGGTGAAGCGGATGTGTAAAAAGGGTGGCAATGCATTATTTTAAATAATAGTCATTCATAAATATCTAAAACTACGCACGCACATATTCGTAAAGGTCGATCGTAAGGCAAAAACCCGATGTCCATAAATCACCTTCACATTTGGAATAATTTTATATAAATGTAGAAGCCTTATTTACTCGTGTTTTTAAAAATTGCAATAACAGCATATCATTACTCGTCAGATCCTCATCAAATTTATATGGTACCACACCATTAGAGAAGCACTAGCTTTAAAAAAAGAAAGAATTATCAAAATTGGTTCAACTAGATAACTAGGTAACATACATTAAAAAAAAGTCTAATTGAGAACCTCGTCCTTTTTTTAAAATCGGTTAATATAAACATTCTGTAATAAAAACCGTTAATTCACATTTGAAATGATTTCAATAGTGTTAAGTGTTTTCGAAGAGAAACATGTTGGGAGCTTTTTTAATGTCAAGAGGTTTTTCATTCTACGGTCAATTGAAATGTTCGTTAACATAATTACAACTTCTAAAATGTATTACAATATTTGATATTTTGGTACTGGCAGAAGGGCTGGCAGTGGCTGCACGTGGCAGTAAACGGGTAGGCGGACTGACCTCCAGGCGTTGAGTATGCGGAGCGCGGCGCGCATCTTCCTGTAGCGGATGCGCGCGAGCGTGCCGCGCCACAGCTTCTGCAGCAGCACCGCGATGGACGGGATCAGCTGCGCGCGCGCCTCCTCCAGCCCGTGCACGGTCTGCGCGCTCCTGCCACACCACACACACACGGTCTAACCTTGCTATTCAATATGGGCGCAGCCCCACGGATGAGTAAACTGAAGTGGGAATGGAGTGGCCGTATAGCTCGTAGAACCGATAACCGTTCTCGAGTGGCAGCCTAATACCGGTTGGCGCAGTATAGAGTAGTGTAGTATGTATATATAGTGTTAAGCTTAGAATTTGTGGGAGTATAATTAAAGTTCTAGTACCAACAACACGTCTCCTATTCATTCAACACCTTCTGACATTACAATAGGGCGGCCCACACAAGATGAAGTAACAACCTGGTAAGACATGTAGGAAGTCGATGAATACAGGTGGCTCAGGACTGTGCTTTATAGCACTCCATGGGCTATGTTTTGCAGTGGAGTTTGACAGAAGGACTGTAATGATGATGAGGATGTGTAATTAATTTTCATTCGATTCCATAAACATTTTTTTTTAATTCATAAAACATTGTCTCAACCCACGATTTTCACTAAAAAAATTGTAGAAAATATTCAAAAATATTAAGAAATTAGTGTACATTAAGACAAAACCAAGTGGTGGCGGTGTAACAAAATTCATTGTCCCATATCGTCCCGTGTATGTCGTAGGCGACTCGGGGATTCGCCAGAAAAGCCACATAGCTTCCTGTGCCCTCGATAATAAGGTGCACTTTTGCTTGCAGGTGAAATAATGAAAGAAACCTGTCTTCACTCAATGATTACTTTATTCGTACTGAGTTGACACATTATCACATTTGTTGCCGCGCAAAAAAACTACAGCGAGATACATTGTATTATATATAGATAATATATAGGGCTAACCGGCAGCTAGCAAAAATATCAAATATGTAATAAACACTTCCTTTAGATGATAGTATACCTCGTTATAGTATATCTCGTTTACGCTCGGCGTAGATTTGCGACGGGGAGCATCGTGGAAAGTGCTCAACAGCTCGTGAAGGTAGTCACACCATTTAGTTGGCTATCACATTACACTTTGCTTACTGGTATTACTGGCTGCCAATCGAAAAACTTTCTTCCGCATAGGTTATCGGAATATAGTTTTATGACCAAAATATTTTTTTGTAAGAATTACATGGATATAATAGTAAATAGTGTTATAATAATTTCATGTACTGATATAATCAGTATATTTAAAAAAATTAAAAAGGTAAGTAATTAAAATTCAAATACTAAACTGACCATGTTTAAAACACTTTAAAGTAGTAAATTAATATCATATGATGTATTTCATTAAAAAAGGAAGATGAGACGGCAAGCTGACCTGATGAAGAGCTTGGTGTGTCCGAACTGCACGTCGGTGAGGTGCAGGTCCCGCAGCAGCACCATGACGGCGTCCCGGGCGCCGGCGCCGCGGAAGTTGGGCCACGTGTACTGCGACAGCATCTTGTAGCGCTGCAGGAAGCGGTCGTAGCGCTGCCGGGACGCGAACCCGGCGCGCCGCACGCGCACGTTCTCCACCAGCCCCAGGTACGCCACCTGGTGCCGCACCTACACCACAACGCACACTATCTCAACCCCCTCCTTTTTATATATACATATATGTCGCCGCACGCGGTGTGGTCCTCAAATAATATGTTAATTAATGATTTAATCCATTATTACCTAGTAATTTTTATAATCATTATGTTCTAATCTTAAGAAATTCTGCCTTTAAATATTAGTAACTACAGGTTTACTATGACTTCATATAATAAACTCTTTTTGAAGATTAAAAGTAGTTGATTCAAATCTGAAGGCTTGCGCAACGCCATTGGCCCGCGCATCTTTACCACCGCGCGGGAGTGGTGGCGTTGCGCACCTTTACCGAAAAATCACTGGAAGGGACACTCTATGGCCCGCGCTTGAGGTACTAAAGTCAAAAGCGTATATTGTGAGTAATTATAATAATAATTATTAAGTATTAAATAAGTTAACCGTACTATTATTTCTGTTAATCAGTTATTACTGTGGACTCTATTATATTTGTGTGTAATAAACTATTCTCATTAGAAATAATAAGTGAATTGCTATTTTATTGGGATGTGCAAGTGACTTGTCATGGATAAATTTAATAGCAGAACTAATGACTCCAACGGAGTTCATGGTTCTGCTCATTTTAATATTTATAATGGACGTCAAAATTCGTCAGATAAATAAAATTAAAGTGTCTGTCTGTAATATCGCCATAGCTACCTTATATTGGGAGGTTATTTGCATGCGTTTTTAAAAATATTGTCTGTCTGTCTATCTACAGACAGACGTCTGTACGGGTTAATCTTCTAAATGATTGAACCAATTGTAATAAAACTTCACGAAGAAATAGAAAGCAATGCCACGAGTGATGTAAGCTATACCTATGTATATTTCATCCGAAAATTTAAACGTTTTAAAAAAATTGATTACCTTAAATCAAAATACGGCCACGTTAATAGATATTAATGTCTGAAACCAAGGCTGATTTATACTGATAAATGAAATATGATAAACGAGCACACAGCCTACCTGCAATCTATACACCTACCTCTATCCTCGTAAAAATCTAAAAATTTTTTTACGTGATAGAGCCATGCTGCAGCTATATTAGTAGTATAGTTGTAGCACCAATGGGTCGGCTCGACCGGGGTAGGACCACGCTCTCACAGAATACCAGCGTAAAATAGCAGCTTAACACTGCTGTGTTTCGTATGGTGAGAACCGGAGACCCTTTTTACTGGAAAAGAGGCATTCCATCTTAGTCCTCACGGGTGACAACGCATCTGCATTTTGATTCGCAAACGAGGATAGATGTAGATGTCTATGGGCCGCAGCAACCACTTACCATCAGGTGGACTGTGTGCTCGTTTGTCACCCTATCCTATAAAAAAAAATCAAAATGCAGATGCGTTGTCACCCCTGAGAATAAAGATGGAACGCCTCATTTCCAGTAAAAATGGTTTCCGGGTTTCTACACTCACTATACGAAACACAGCGGCACTAAGCTGCTTTTTTACGCTGGTATTTTGTGAGGGCGTGGTCCTTTCCCGGTCCAGCCGCGTCTTTGTGCAGCATAGCTATAACACATAATATACTCTCACTTCATAGTCTCATCCACTGAAAAAACAATTACAAACTACGTGCCAAGTTTACATATATGCTTCTCGAGAAACGTTTTTACGTAGTAAACCCACAGTAAGCTGTGTTATAGCTGCATCACGAATAAAACCACAGTCTTACTGTATACCAGCGTGAAATGGAGCATAATGCAGCTGTATTGTACATGGTGAGTGCAGAGAACCGGGGCCCATTTTTACTGGTAACAAAACATTCCATCTTAGTCCTCAAGGCTGACAACGCATCTGCATTTTAATTCTTAATCGAAAATATATGGAGATGTCTATTAGCCACAACACATGGACTAGAGCAGAAACACTCAAATGCTGTACACAACTAACAATGCGACTATTGTTGCTGCGAACTACATACGTACACGTGAGGCCAAAGATAAAATAGTTTCGAAAATCCAAAAGTACACACCTCATAAACGTTTCATTTGATTTAGATGAAAAAAATAAATTGTATTCCTGACTTTTAAATATATTAGTAACGTGTTTTAAATTTAGCGCTCTGTTATTTTAACAGGTAGTGTTACTTACAAGGAAAAAAATGTTTACCAAAATAAATCTATATCAGCTGTATTTTGTGCATTATTTGTCCTTTGTCTATCAAGGGCTAAAAAAATATGAAAACGCCTTTAAATGTTTAATAGTAATAAAACTTACAAGTTGAAAACCATTTTATCAACATATTACGCGTACTAGGCTATTGATATGAAATAGGGAACCAGTTGATGCAATACTGAAGGTAATAAAAAAACGTCAATTTTTCAATTTACGTCAATTTTTTCGGGAGTTATCGTGACCACACACAAAATCAACATCCAGACTTCCACGTAAAATTGTTTTTCAAACCGTTTTTTTTTTCAGAGTAGCAATATACAATGATTTTAAAAAAATATAACATGGATTAATTAGACAGTTTTCTTGATATCTTATATTATCGAATTGAAAAGAAACCAGCATCAACAAAGACCAAGAGAGGGGCCACAGTTAAGAAATGATTGTGATTGTGCTTTATTACTTTATCCCTTTTTTAATGTACTTAGTATATCCAATTTTTATTCTAAACTTTAATTTAAATAAGTCTCGCTGCAATTAATTTACACTATTTTAAGCTAGGTAATTTTATTCTGATTAGCACGTTATTGATTGACTTTTACGTTGACCCGATTACGTGTAGCAATTGTTTCATATATATTATTATTTTGTTTATTAGTTGCTACGCTTTTAATCTTGTGCGGGTAAAAGTGAATTAATTTTTTGACAATATTAATACATTTTATGTTCACGCATAGCTTACTGTATATAAACTAGTGCTGGGTGTTTTTTTTTTCCACAGATTATTAAACATGTAGCAGCTATTTTTAATTTTTATTCTTTATTTCGTTACTTTTAGTTAGTGTCGCATCGGCTACAAGTCTTTCAGCCAAAAATTGTAGTACACTGACAACTTTAATATTTTAAACTTTGTCAACGTAGATGTATTAAAATAGTCATATATAATATTAAAATAGTTTGTAAGTAGTGTATTTGTGTAGCGATATTACCTAAATTGTATTTCTTTTTCCTCATTTTGTTTATTTTGAAATCTTGTTTTTTTTTTTGTTTTTTAATTCTGATATAATTTGTAATAACACTCGACTGGTGGGTGGGTATGATTGCCTTGTTGGAAGAAGTACATTTAATTTAGTAGTTAATTTTATTTTAATAATTTAGACTCTTAATTTAAATATATTATAAGTATATATTGTAATGGCTATTAATGATATAAGTGACGATAGTGAGATGTTTTTCACTGCTGATGATGACAGTTTTTGTTCTATAGTAAGTGATAGTGGAAGTTCTATTTCCACTCCTCTCGCAGAGTTTCTTGTTTCGCAGTTTTCTGATGTCCCTAACAACTTCAACGTTGTTCATATAAATGCACAGAGCATTCCGGCCCACTTCCCCGATATGCTGACAACTTTTACTTGTAAAAATATACATGCTGTTCTTATTTCTGAATCGTGGCTGAAGCCCTGTCTTCCCTCTACCTGTTACAATCTTCCTGGCTTCCAATTAATACGAAACGATCACTCGGTAGGTGGCGGTGGAGGTGTAGCCATTTATCTACGTTCACACATTCCTTTCACTATTGTCGATGTATCTGCACAACCACCGCCGCCTGATGCCGGTGAGCATCTTTTTATTGAAGTCACACTATCTCACTCTAAAGTTCTTCTTGGTGTTTATTACTGCCCTTCTATGCGTATTGACTTCTTCAACTCATTCCAAAATATCTTAGATAAACTTACTCCCTCCTATTCACATACGATTATAATGGGCGACTTTAACACTTGCTTACTTAAACAGGATGCCAGGGCTTCTTCTCTTAAGTCAATTTTAAATTCTAGTAATCTCTCTATTTTACCGTTAAATGCCACGCATCATTTTCCAAACACGACGCCCTCTCTCCTTGACCTTATTTTTGTTTCCTCTTGTAACTTTGTCACGAAGCACGGTCAATATACGGCCGATGCATTTTCATTTCATGACCTAATCTTTCTATCTTATAAAACTCGATCTCCCAAATTTAAACCAAAAATGTTACTGCAGCGTAATTTTGGTGGCATGGATATAGACAGTCTTCGTAAGGATGCGTTGCTTTGGGACTGGTCAAATCTTTATAGAGCAGATAATCTGGATAATAAGGTCTCAATCTTTACTTCTGCCCTTATAAAAATCTTTGATGTGCATGCACCTGCACGCGTAGTCAAAATTAAACATCGTCTATCACCTTGGCTTACTGATGATATTAAATCTATAATCAATAAAAAAGCGATAGCTAAGGCTAAGTTTAAACGTAAGCCGAATGCGTTTAATAGGGAAAAATATATTAACATTCGCAATCACTGCAATAAGGTGTGTAGGGATGCTCAACGCCTTCATATTCATAAGTCAGTCGAAAATTGTGATACGGCAAAGGTCTGGAAATTTCTTAAATCATTGGGTGTTGGGAAATCTAAGAATAGTCCAACGTCAAAAGATTTAAACGTTAATGGTTTAAATAAACATTTCTCTTCTTCGTCCTGTTTAGATAACACTACTAAGGCTAATACACTAACATATCTTTCAACTATTCCCACTCCCAGTCATTCTTCTTTTGTTTTCAAACCATTCTCTGCTTGTGACGTTAAGAAGAGCGTTATATCTATTACTTCCAATGCAGTGGGAAGTGACTGTGTCAGTCGTAACATGATTCTTCCCATTCTCGATATTATTCTTCCTATTATTTGTCATATCCTTAACTTCTCCATTTCCACAAGTAGTTTTCCATCATCTTGGAAAAATGCTGAAATTGTTCCTATTCCAAAAAAAAGTAATCCTACATCCTTTTCTGAATATCGTCCTATCTCTTTACTGCCCTTCTTATCTAAAGTCCTTGAACGCCTTGTTTACACCCAGTTCAACAGTTTTCTTTGTGCGAATGCACTTCTTAATCCTTTACAGTCAGGATTTCGACCTGGACACAGTACTACCACAGCATTGGTGAACATCACCGATGATATCCGATTAGGAATGGAAAACGGTGAAGTGACTGTTCTTTGTTTATTAGATTTCAGTAATGCTTTTAATACCGTTGACCATGATGGACTCGGCATAATGCGCTCTCTTAACGTATCTCCAACAGCGATTAGTTGGTTTCAGAGTTACCTGTCTGGTCGCCAGCAACGTATACGTATCGACGATACATTATCATCTTGGTGTAACGTACGTGTTGGTGTACCGCAGGGAGGCATTTTATCTCCTTTACTTTTTGCAGTTTTTATAAACTCAATATCCAATAATTTAACTTCTTCCTACCACCTTTATGCAGATGATCTACAAATATATACAAAAGCTTGTACCAACGATCTCATCAATGCTATCAATGTCGTTAATGCAGATCTCGATCGAATTCTTGAGTGGAGTAATGCATACGGCCTTCACGTTAACCCAGCAAAATCGCAAGCCATTATCATGGGCAGCGCGCAAATGTTGGCTAAGTCGAGCCTAGATTACCTGCCTCTAGTATTTGGTAAAACTATTATTCCTTACGCAGATTCAGTAAAGAACTTAGGTATCCACATAGATAAGAAACTGTCGTGGGGACAGCACATCAAAGAAATTAATCGCAAAGTTTATGCCTCGGCAGCCTCCTTGCGTAGATTACGTAACTTTCTTCCCATTTCCACCAAAACTATGCTTGCCAAGTCCCTTCTCTTCCCTATTTTTGACTACGCAGACGTCAGCTATCTAGATCTCACCGAAGCTCACCTCGATAAACTTGAGCGAATTCAGAATTTTTGCATAAGGTTTATATTTGAATTGCGCAAATACGACCATGTATCTTTTTTTCGTACTAAGCTCAAGTGGTTGCCAATACGACTTCATCGGAATGCTCACATACTTCATTTTCTCTATAGTGTTCTCTTTAATCCTTCTTACCCTTCTTACCTCAAAAATCGTTTTGAGTTTCTTCATGATTCCCATTCGCGTAACTTGAGATCAGCAGGGAGTTTGAGGTTGAATTTGCCACTATACACTAGAAAATTTATGAACAAGTCTTTTACTGTACAGGCCGTTCATTTATAGAATGAACTCCCATTGTCAGTAAAACGCGCACCATCCCTACCGGTATTTAAAAAACTAGTTAAGAATCACTACCTCGCACTTTAAATTATAACTTCACTTCCACACTAGCCATTAAATAATATATCATAATATGTATCATATCAATTTCATTTAATTAATTAAATAATTCAATATATATATATTTTGTATGTATATATGTTTATAGTATGTGTATGTATAGTATGTATATGTGTTTATTCTTTTTTATCTCTTTTTTTCTCTAACACACCAATTTGCCCTGCCCTTGTCATATTCGTGCAATCCTGTCCATTCATTGGTTGTCTGGAAGAAATAGCTATCAGCAATAAGACCGCCCATTGCATACTTCTTTTATATATAGAATTTCTGTAATTTATGTATGGTGTGCAATAAAGAATATTAAATAAATAAATATTAAATAAATTATCGTATAAGTGCAATATGGTTATGATAGAGGCATTTTAAGAAAACAAAATTGCTTGACCTTAACGTGTCGAGAGTAAAGCAGACTTATCCAGTTATTACATGCAATTCATGCAATATCTTTACTTATAATAAAAATATAAATTGCAGATATCTGTGCATTTTCATAATAATATATAATATAACTCGTAAAAGGAACACAAATAATATTCTTTTATATTATTAATTCATCCACATCAATTAACTTTCATTTATGTTGCTTCAACAAGTAACAGTTCAACCTCTAACAGTGTGCCAGAAGTTGAATTGCTCATACAAACATAATACCTAAACTATTTTTAATACTGACTATATTTCACATCATATGTGCTATTTTTCGAATTCGGATAATGATTATCTCGATTCTTAACTGAGTTTTCATTATACATACGTAAAATGTAAGTGATTTATGGGCAAATACTCTAATGCTACTCAATTTTAAGATGTCGTCAAGTCAGTCACTTTGACTTAGTTATAAAGACGTCATGTTAAAATTGTGCAGTGTTTGAGTATTTTGGCAATAAATATGCACGAACAAGTATACAAAGTAAGTGTTTAAGGAAAGTCACACAATAATAGAAAATTCGCAATTAAACACCGCATGTTTCCTACAAAATAGATTCCATTTGTTACGCTAATTTAACATTCTGAAATCATTATTATTTGACATGTGCAAACTAATATATTTACCTTATTTATTTTGATTTACATAGAAACAAAATATTGTTATGTTAATGTACTATTTAAATTATATTAATGACAGTTTTAATTTTTGATTTGCATGTCGGATTTTTGCCGACGAAATATGTGAATTATTTAACAACTTGTCACCAACTATATTTTGCAAACGAATGTCATTTCATTTCAAATACTTTTATTATTATCTTTTTTTTTATTTAGAAAGTCTTTTATCCTACGATATGTCAGCCTTATCGTACCATGCCTTGTTCCTGTAACACATATAATCATGTGTATTTAGAAAAGGAAAATCAATGTGATAGGAACATATGCTAGCGGAATGTGTCAAATACCAAAGGAAAAGGAACGATATGGTGAAAAAATTTAATATTAATTTGGGTGAAATATGTTGGTTTCTAAGTATACATTCAAAAATTTATTAAGCCACGAAAACGGCACATTTTGAACTTACCAACTGCTCGTCCCAAGCGTTAGGCGCCTGCACGGGATTGGGCTTCACGCATCGCACGTAGAACGGTTCCTTACTCTGCAAGCCTGTTACTAAGGCAGCCATTGAGTTGCGGAACAGAGTCGCGGCTGAAGGCGGACGTTTTGACGTCTAGAAAGAAAAGAAAATTTATTTGTATTTGTTATTTATCAAAATACAACTTTATTACACAGACGTTCTTTTTAAGACTGTAGATACAAGTAAAAAAAACTAGGGTGTGGCAATGTCGTGGACACGGCCATGTGTTTTACGTGAATATGTGTACGTAAGGACATGACCTTAAAATGGCGGCGTTACCCCCCTCCCCGCGCGCAATGCGTCACAGTCCCCACTCAAAGTAACGAATTCTTTGATCCTATAGCTATCGAGTGTGGTAATTAAATTTTGGATGTAGATGGTAGATATGTACCCACAACATATATACGGCAAACACCAAACTGTATCCCCCGATTTTGTTATCATAAGTTTTGCCTCCCACTATGGAAGCAAATTGAATGACATACTCATATCAAAAAGGACTTTCAATAAGAATTATTTAAAACCTTTATTGCATTTTTTTATAAAACTGAACCAACTTACACAGCTGATGTTAAGTGATTACTGCAATACATGGACATCTGCAGCAAAGTTCAAACAAAGAAGACTACAGATGCGTTGTCACTTCTGAGACCTAAGATGTAATGCCTCACAGCCTGTAATTTGACTAGCTCTCTTTACCTTACAAAACGGAACACAGCAAAGAAGTAAGAAAGTTGGTGCCTACGCTAATATTATAAAACTATTCTTTTTTTTATAGAATAAGATTTACAAATGAGCACACAGTCTATCTGATGGTAAGTGGTTGCTGTGGCCTATAGACATCTACATCTAACCTCGATTACGAATCAAAATTCAGATGCGTTGTATCCCTGAGGACTAAGATGGAATGCCTCGTTTCCAGTAAAAAGGGTCTCCGGTTCTTTACACTCACGAAACACATCAGCATTAAGCAGCTATATTCCGCTGGTATTCTGTCAGAGCATGATCCCACCTCGGACGAGCCGACCCATTCGTGCTGCAACCACATAGCCACAGCATGCCTCTACCACGTCGAAAAATTCAATTCATAAATTCAATACAAGTTTAATTTTAATAATTTAATTTGTAATGGAGGTTTTGTTTATCAATATAAAAGTTGTTAGAAAGATGTTGCTAATAATATTTATTTATTTAAAAGTTGCCAACAAGAAATTTAAATTTTATATACTTGTATTACCTACCCTAGAACTATAATAAACAGTAATTATGGTGTGAGTGCGTGTGTGCGTGTGTGCACGAGCGCGTGCGAGTGCGTATCGTGGCAACGATGTTCAATTAATTCAAAAGAAAACAGTAGTTCTCCAATAAATAGCTCCACACACCAATCGGTAACATAGCAAAACGCGATAAGTCATTAAAATTTGACTACTAAGGTAATACGAGGTAAAATATAAATAGACAACAGAACAATTGGGAACAAAATGATTAATCATCATCATCATCATTACAGCCCTTCACAAATCCACTGCTGAACATAGGGCTCCCCCAAGGAATGCCACAAAGCACGGTCCTGAGCCACCTGCATCCATCGACTTCCTGCATGTCTTACCAGGTCGTCACTCCATCTAGCGGGGGGACGCCCTACACTTCGTCCTCCGGTACGAAGCCGCCACTCGGGACCCTTTTCTTTCCATCGGTTGTCGGTATTTCGAGTTATATGGCCGGCCCATTGCCACTTCAGCTTACTAACCCATTGGGCTATGTCGGTCACTCTGGTTCTACTGCGGATATCCTCATTTCTAAGTTTATCACGCAGAAAAACTCCGAGCATAGCCCTCTCCATAGCTCGCTGAGCGACCTTGAGCTTCCTCATCCGGCCAGCAGTGAAGGACCACGTCTCAGTTCCATAAGTCATCACTGGCAACACGCAATGGTTGTACAATCTCGTTTTCAAATTTTGAGGTATAGCTGCCGAGAAAACGTGCCGTAATTTCCCGAACGCTGTCCAACCGAATTGAATCCGTCGATTGACCTCTCGGTCGAAGTTGGACTTACCTAGTCGGACTATTTCTCCCAGGTAAACGTACTCGTCAACACCTTCGAGCTTAGTGCTCCCAACAACTAACGGCATAGGTGTGACATGGACATTAAACATGATCTTTGTTTTGTCCATGTTCATTTTAAGACCTATCCGTTGGGAAACACTATTGAGGTCATTGAGCATAGTGCTTAGGTCCTCCAGCGATTCTGCCATAAGGACTATATCGTCGGCAAATCGAAGGTGAGTGATATACTCGCCATTGATGTTTATCCTTTCCACCTCACAATGTCATACACCTCTCTGCAATTGGATAGGTTTCGTACTCTGGTTCTGTACTCTGATAGCCATCGTAGCCCTACTGTACAAGCACTTCAGCACTTCGATATACCGACAGTCAACTTGGCACCGCTGAAGGGACTGCAGCACCGACCAAATTTCGACGGAATCAAAGGCTTTCTCATAGTCCACTAACGCCAAACATAGTGGCAAATTGTACTCCTCGGACTTCTGTACAATTTGCCGAGGGGTATGTATGTGGTCTATGGTGTTAAAGCAAAAGCACCATAGACCAGAGTCTAGAATCTAGAGTCTGCGCGCGAGAATATTCGTAATGACTTTCGAAAACAGCACGTAGACGTGGCTCAGAAGGAAGATCGGTCCGTAGTTATTCAAGAGAGCGTTGTCACATTTCTTGAAGAACAAGACCACCGTACTTCTGCTCCACGCCTACGGTGTAATGTCACCATGGACGACGGAATTAAAGAGCTTCTGAAGGACTTCAAGTACCTGTTTTCCACCCGCTTTCAGAAGCTCCGATGTAATTCCATCCTCGCCTGGGGCCTTGCCGTTTTTAAGGTGCTGGAAAACCATTCTAATCTCGCTCAGACTGACGTCCGAAATATCATCGGAATAGTGTCGGATAAGACTTGCTCTTGGATCGTTACTCACACTTACGTGTGGCTCCAACGATGATGAGTACAGTTGCCAATAGAACCTCTCAATCTTACTCAAGATCTCCGGTGTCCCGGAAACGACGCTGCCACACTCGGTCTTCAGCTTCGATAGTTGGCTCTTTCCGGCAGACAGATCTCTAGCAAAGACTTTGGAGCCCTGATTCCGCTCGATCGCTTCTTCAATACGAGCAGTATTAAAGTTGCGTAAGTCCCGCCACATGCATTTGGAGATCTCTCTGTTTTCACCCTCGCGATCACGGAGACATCACTGAACAATTGTCGTCTGGTCGCCATAGTAAAGTCAATCTCATTTTTTGTCCAACCGTCGGGGCTCGACCAGGTTCACTTCCTGTGGGGCCACTTCTGGAAGAAAGAGTTCATCATCAACCTCCATGAAGTCGGCCAGCTGCTGGCCCCTTGGGTTCCGTTGCCCTATTCCAAATTTCCCTACTTTCAGCTCACCATTCTTGTGCCTAGTTTTGCATTGAAGTCTCTCATTAACACCGTATAGTGGGTTTTGGAGGAATGCATGGCTCTAGATATATCCTCATACATTTCCTCCACCTCCTCATCGGGATGTGCCGAGGTTGTTGCGTAAACCTGTATGACCTTCAGCGAATACCGTTTGGTAATTCTGAGTATAAGTTACGCAGCCCTCGTCGACACAATCTCAATCTTTAGAACGTTCATCCTCGGATAATCCTATGATATTCCAGCGCTACTTGTCTATCTTTTCTTTCAGCTCCAGGATCTTCTCGTCAGTCCTCAGGATGCGTGCGTTAAAAGTTGCCAGATCGAGTCGTCGTAGGTGGCAACCGAACCTTCACCGGAGATTCTTAGCACCACCTTAAGTGATTGCTACTTCTAATTTGTTTTGTGTTGTTAATTATTGTGTAACTTTAATGATTTTAAACTGTTCTTTTTTTTTTTCAAGAAAGTCTATCTGGTTTCCTTGCTGGTTCTTGCCAGGACAGAGCTATTTTCCGAACCAGTGGTAAATTAAACATAAAGAGTGACTTTTTCAATAAGTATTTTTTATAATCTATATTGAATAAAAAAGTTTCTATTTCTATATTTCTAATGCTCGTGTATTGTGTATGTGTGTGTCCGTGTTGGCGTTACCTTCTGTATGTTGGTGGCGCCCTCTGGCCACATGTCTGCGAGCGAGCGGTTGCTGGAGGAGTGCAGCAGCCGCTTGAGGTCCTGCCACAGCGAGTCCTTGTTCTTGTCCATGAAGCCCGTTATCGCGTACGTCACATCACCCGCATAGTGCCTGTACACAATCACAGCTATTTTTTTTTTCATTTGCTTATTATTACAGTAGAGTCTATTTTTCTTCTTCTTCGCCAGCTCGAAAGTCCACAGCTGCACATTAGTCTTACCCGTTGTAGGGTAGTGTATTTCCAGTAATCGTCACGCTTGGAACGCATTGAAGATCGCAGTACTACTAGACGTTTCGAAAATTTGACTCTCCCGCTCTTTACCGGTCTAATGGTACTTCAAACACAACTCAATTTTAAGATGACGTTAAGTCTCTTAGTGTCACAGTCACTTTGACTTAAATTGATAGAGACAGCACGACACTTAACGACGTCTTAAAATTGAATAGCATTTGAGTATTTGGCATAAGTATTTTACGTCTGGTGTAAAAGAGATGTTTATTTATGTGGTAGAGCCACACCGCAGCTATATTAGTAGTATAGTTGTAGCACGAATGGTTCTGCTCATCCGGGGTAGCACCACGCTCTCACAGAATACTAGCGTAAAATAGCAACTTACCGCTGCTGTGTTTCGTATGGTAAGTTTAGATAATCGGAGACCCGTATTACTGGAAACGAGGCATTCCATTTTAGTCCTCAGGGTTGACAACGCATTTGCATTTTGATTCGTAATCGAGGATAGATGTAGATGTCTATGGGCCACAGCAACCACTTACCATCAGGTAGACTGTGTGCTCGCTTGTGAACAACCGCCCATGAACAACTGCAACACCAGTGGAACCAGAGGAATTGCAGATGCGTTGCCGGCCTTTAAATATGTATTATGGGATGTTTCACGTCACCTAATATATATCCTTTTACACGGGCGAATTTAGTGAAATTATGTTCATCGACTCACGTGATACGGAAGTCGACGCTGTGCTTGAGCTTCTTGTCGGTGGGACTGAGCTGGCGCGACGTGTAGTGCTTGTGGCCGGCCAGCCGCTTGTCCATCGCCTCCAGCAGCTGTGTGTCGGAGATCTGCAACAATACAATATATCTTCATCAACTCATCAACAATACATTATGCCTTTTGGTTATCATATACAAAATACGCGAAGCGCAAATTAAAGAAATAGATTTTCTTTACATATATACAGGATATATAGATATACATACATAATATACACCTACTATATCTTTTATCGATTAAGATACGTTATCACCGCAGAGGACTTTATAGAATGCCTTGCCTGGTTACTTGGGTTTCTGGTCCTTGTCACTAATACGAAACTTTATTAAACATTATGGTTGCAGACAAATTACTCAATAATCTTCTTAGAAATGAGAAGAAGCCAGTAACAAGGAGTAGTTGTTGTTTACTTGTGTGCGCTATAACATGTTATTTTTTTTATTTATTCATACAAAGTTAGGTACATTATGTGCATGCCATGCGCAGAGATGTACATCATCTTTACCTTGGTCGGGTTAAGACACGCTTCGTCCATAATAGCGATGATGCCCTGATGGGGAGCATCCACTAGCTCGCAGATAACGCGGTTGTTGAAGTACTGCACCGGTGTCCACTGGATGCCTTCCCGAGCGTATTCCTCTTGCTCCTGCTTCAGCACCAGTTCTGAAATTGTTACCTACAGTTCTAGTCACTATAAAAAGGAAACCTATGTAGCTATTTATATTTCTAAAAGTAATTATTTAACAATATTTATTTCGTAAATAAATTGCCATCTCATATACTCTTTGCATTTTATTTTACCTTATATGTTTATTACTTATTTAATAATTTTATGATGAGAATTGTTTACACTGAACACAGCCACTTTCTGAAATCATCTAGGGTTCACTCACTGGTAGAGAATGGTATAAGGCATTAAGTCCGCCCTTAATTTCCCTTATTATAAGGCGTATAATAAAGACTAAATAATTAATTTAAAAGAAAGAATCCAGATAAAAAATGACCCGACTTTTTGCGCTAACCGTCACCGGAGTAGAGGTAGGGGTTACACACTTTAAGTATAATACTAATTTACTATGCTACGCTCTTTTACTGCCTAGCAGTGTGTCTGGGTTCGTACACCACCCCCTTATCTATTTCTGCCGCCAGTTAGCAGTGCTACTTGCTGCCAATGAGGGCTAATAGTTTTCTGCTCACCAGATGTAGCTAGTTGACACTGAGGTAAAGTTTTTTGTTACTCAATGTCATTTAATTGAGAAGTTAGTTTTTAATCAAAGTTTATCATTTTCTAGAGTATTATATTAATACACAAAACAATTCCTCAGTGGTTTGCTCTTTAATTACTTTCACATTTTAACTTTTTTTAAATTTTTCTACTTTTATGAATATCTGTGGGCTTGGTTTTTTGATTTTTAATCTAATTAATATAAAATATAGCTAATAGTACAGAAACAAACATGAAATCTGTCAAATATTATACCTCACTTTTAAGTGGCAACGCCCAAGTGGCAGAAAAAGTCCTGAATGCTCTCATTAGCGCGTGCACTGATGTTTCGGTCTGAATGGTTTAGAGCTAGTCGAATTTTAAGCTGTGAGGCATTTTATCTTACTTCTCAGATAGACAACGCATCTGAAGCTAGCTTTATTTAAAGTTTGATAAAATACGTAAGAGTAGTTTTGTTCGTAAAGCAAAGCACCCACAATTTAGCCGCGTTAGCAAAACGCAGCGTGTTACAACGCTAATTTAATTTGTAACAATAAAAATAATCGATTAGCTCATGCAATAAAAGATGTCTGGATCTGCGATCGCCAATGCGCATACCAAGCGAGGCGATAGCGCCAAGTACTCTCCGCAAATATGTCCTCTAAACCGGACTGCGGTCACGGCAGCCAGTCTTAACTGAGACTAACCATCTACACGGTACATGATTATAGTGCCTGAGTGTATGACCAAAAACAAGTACACTCTCTATTCTCTCACTCGCCTAGTCCGACAGGACCGCAAACCTACACGATCGGAGAGAGATCAGGCGCAGGACCAACGGCTTTAAGTGCTTTCCGAGGCACGTGGGTCAAACACTGCCAACTTCCTGACTCCCGGACTGCTACTGAGAATTTCTTGACCGAAAAATCCTGTAACTGATTTTGGCCCGACCCGGGATTCAAACTCAAAATTTCATAATGAGCAACCGCGTTTACGACCATGAGAGGAAAAGAAACGGCGTCCTATGGCTGACACGTCTAGACTGACATGTCTAGAGTTCGCATACAAGGTGTTACGAGTCAGTGTCGGAAACACCTGAGTAATGGCGAGCGCGCCGGCGGGACGTCACGGGCACTTCACTTCGTATTCGTATCGAGCGTCAGCGCGGCCAATTTGTCTCATTAATATTAAGTTAAATATTGCAAATTGGTGTGATTAAATGTATTGAAGCATAAAGTAACAGGTTATTTTAAAAAGGCTAAACATTTCGGCACACCAAAGTCATTCCCCGAGCTCGACATTATCAATTGAATCGATTGTTGAACTTTTTCGAGGAAATTTTATGACTTGAATAATTATAATATTCCTGCACACATGCGAAATTCCAGTTTTAAACGTGGAATTGCGGAAAATAGCCCGTTGCATACTAAACTAAATAAACTATGATTTAGTTAAATATATTAAGCTAATCGTAATGGTAAATAAGTTAATAACAATGAAAATATGTTTGTATTGATGAGCGTATTAATTAGTGTCTTAGGTTGCAAATCAATCCGCAGTAGATCCTGAGTAACCGACACAACTCATCGGATCGGTAATTTGTAGTTGCAATGCTTTAACGACCGAAAACCGATGGTTCCCGATAGTTAAGAATGAAAGAAAATATAAAAGAAAACTTAGACATCGCAAAGAAAAAAACAACATGAGATAAAAGAAATTACAAGAGAATTTGTGTGAAGTGAAATTAGGTCCCTATTTCAGTTTAACTGCTGCTGTAGAGTCCAATATTAACTTCACGTTCGGACAAACCTTAGACGTAAAGCGTACATGAAAACAAAAACATTCAGAGAAAGAAGTGGAGGAGAAATCGGCTTATGTATTATCGGTATTATTTGAAAATAAATATACATTGTATATTAAGAAAGGTTCTCGAGTGTAAAACACAGTCCGAAACGTTCGTATTTTGTGGCATTCCTAGGGGGAGGTTCTTTAACATAATATACTTACTTTACTATAAATTATGGTCTTTTTTTAATATTATTATTATTATTATATTAACAAGCAGGCAGTTGAGACAACTGATAATGCCTGTATCCTGTTGTTGTCTACTAGTTACTCTTTTTGCAGTTCAGAAAGTGATTATCTAATCTATTTTTGAATTGGTTCACGTTTTGAGCTGAGACTACGTTCTCTGGAATTAATTTAGATGTTCATAGAATAAAATATTATTTTCCTTTCGGCCGCTAATAATGTATTATTTAGGAGTTTTAAAACAACAACACAAAACAAACATATTATCAATCAAATATTAAAATCGAATCATTTTACCAGATGGCTACATACCAATAAATAGCTGTTGTAGTTTCTCGTTGCAGTAGTTGATGCAGAACTGCTCGAAACTGTTGGTCTCGAAGATTTCGAACCCGTAGATATCCAGTACGCCGATGAGTGTACTTTTGTATGTACCTTTGGGAGCTTCGATGGCCCTGTTGATCTATCAGAGAAATTTATATTTTAGATAATGGTAAGGGGCCATTCATTAATTAAGTAAAGTGACCCGAAGGGAGGGGGGGGGGGTGTTAAAAATCTCTACATGCTCTTATCTTGCGAGGAGGGGGTGAAACCCATTTTTACGTGTAATATTTTATAAGTCGAAATTTAATATTAGAAGTCTAGTTCCATATCGGATGCCGAATGGTTTTCTCCATTTTATAACGTACAATTCTTATTACATCTTATTTAAAAAAATTTAATAAAAATTTTAAATGTGTTCATTTTTATTCATTTTAAATGTTATAAATAATAATTATAGTACATTCCCTCTTAGTAATCTAATCTAAATAAAAATTATAGGTATCTTACGTATGAAGAGGGAGAAAGGGGGGGGGGGGGAGAAATCTTATGTAGCCTTACATGAGGGTAGGGGGGGGCGTCAAAAATCGCCAAAATCATCCTTACGTAATTAATGAAGGGCCCCTACATTGTATTTTTTTTAGTCGTTATTAGGAAGACGCTGCTGTCTATCTTCTGATTTTTATTTCCCTTTGCCGCCTGGTACGACACCCATGGGATGATATGAGGTAGTGGATATTCCCCCCTTGAAGGCAATCTATGGGGGAGGCTTATATTCAGCGATGGACTTTAACAGGCTATAATGCTGTAACAGTAAATTGTTTTTGCTTTTTTTTATTAACTTATTTTTAGTAGCTAGTGACTTCTTAAAATTGTTAAATAAAATAATTACATTTAAATAAATACTCGTTGTAAGCTTGTAACACGTCTGTGACTGTGGGTAGTTCTAAAATTTCGATGTCTTTTACAAGTGGAATCTCTTAAATTCACTATCCTGTCATCACGTAGGTGGCATGAGGCGACAGAGAATGAATGTGAAACATTTGTAACAGACAGGAGTTGTACCAGAGTTGTCACTGTATAATAAAAACTGCGGTTGACAAACCGCCTGCCAAGCGAATATGGCAATTATCCACCATAGTCCAAGGGAAGGTCAAGTCAGCAGTGGCTTTTTAATAGGCTTTAACTTATGAATAATACTTTATTTTTATAAGATTTTCTCCTGTATCGTGATGGCAGTTTACATACATAAATTGCACAAAGACAAACGTCCAGGAACAATTATATGTTAGCCATAACATACTTGTTCCGTGCAGCATTTGAATCTAGGGTCTTTAGCGCCACAACTAAAAGCTAAGCCATTACGCCGTCAAACCAAATGAATGACAATGAAAAGCAATGAAAACATAAATTTCTTATGAAATATGTAAATTGGTTCCACAGTAAAGGAGAAAATCCTTTTTTTATATAGAATAAGGATGACATATTAGCACACGGCATACCTGATGTTACATGGATGCTGTGGTATCATTATCAGGCACATTTATCTTCGATTAAGGATCAAAATTCACGTGTACGCCTTTTTTTTCAGTAAAAAGGGTCTCCGGTGCTCTAACACTCAACATACGAAACACAACAGCATTATGCTGCTATTTTACACAGGTATTCTGTGAGAAAGTGGCCCTACCCCGGTCGAGCCAGCCCATTCATGCTACAACCATAATATAGCTGCAGCATGGCTCTATCACGTAAAAATCTATCCTACAGTGGGGATAACTTTAAAAAAAGAGAGTTGACAAGACATCCCCGACCTCCTGCACTATCCAGCTGAAGAGTCTGTCGTAGGCCGCCTTCGCTAGAGCGAGACGGGTATAGTTCGCGTCGCTAAGCGAGTGCCGCTTGCTGACCAGCTCGCCGCCCGCCGCCAGCACGCGGCCCGCGAACACCTCGCGCACGGCCCGCTCGCTCACACCCAGCGCGGACACGCACCACCGTAGGGGACCGCCGATCGTCATCTCGCCTTCACCTGACTCCGAGAAGCTCAGCTCACCCTGATAAGTAAATCACACATATTCATTTTTAAAAATTATACTTCTGAGGGTGTTATTTGTTTATTTTTTCTTTGTTATAAAATATGGGAGGCAAACGAGTACACAATCCACCTGATGGTAAGTGGATGCTGTGACTGTATTTTACGCTGGTATTTTGATGAGGTTTTCTTTGTCCAGTCGAGCCGACCCATTCGCGCTAAGAAATTTTAAAGACAAACAGCTAAGAAAGCTTACTACATAACTATTTTTTTATAGAATAAGGTTAACAAATGAGCTCAAAATTCACATAATGGTAAGTGGGTACTGTGGCTCATAGACATACATTCTTAATTAAGAATCAAAATGCAGATGCGTTGTAACCTCTGAGGACTGAGCTGGAATAACTCATTTCTACTAAAAAGGGTCTGCGGTTCCTCTACACTTAACATACGAAACACAGCGGCATTAAGCTGTCATTTTCTCCGTCCGAGCTGGCCCATTCGCGATACAATCATAATATTATATATAGCTGCAGTATAGTTCTATAACATTGTATTTGCTAATACACATGTGTTTAACATAAAGAAAGTATAGATATGTCAAAAATTAAAAATAAAATAATTTGTGCAATGGTAATAGATAGTTTAAAGTAGAGTATTAATGATTATATCATGTACCATATAAAATAATCCATCACTAACATTTCTAACCGTGGGTGTGCTAAGAAGAAACTATTTGAAATGTTAAAAAGATCTTAAGCTTCCGATAGATGGCGTTATAACCATTTCGTAGGAGCGGCATAAAAAGTACCAGACGTCCAATACCGCTATCATCAGCCCACCTGCCAAGTGTGGCAAGTAAGGCAATCCTACAATAAAATGGCCCATACCCGGAAGTGGACTTTAGCGGTTTATGGAGTTTTTAGTAAGAGTAGATTTTTACAATTTGAAACTTAAACAGAATACCGTTACCATTACAGCCTATTAAAGTCCACTGCTGAACATAGGCCTCCCCCTTAGATTGCCTCATAGAGGGGATATTTGCTAGTTGCCACGAGTTTATTTTTATTTTTATGCGTTTTAGGAAGACGCTGCTGCCAATCTGATTTGTTTCCCTCTGTCGTCTCTTAAGGGATGATATGGGGTAGTGGATATTCTTACACCGCCACTCACGGTATACAGAACAATATATCTTTAAATATGACTTTTTCGCTAATCGTAATTTAAAAAAATTCTGTTCTTATACTATATATAACATATCTCTCACTATTTATATGTCTCCCTTTCTATTTATGTGTCTCCCTGTTTCTGTTCTCACTATCATGTCATGATTCCAGACAGGAATGAAATTGTTGTCTCTATTTGAATAGCATAACTAAATCCGCGTTGACACGATCAGAGTATGCTCGGTCCGAGTGGCCTCGTACGAGCAGCTTCGTAGTAGAAGTTTACACATATATACTTACTCTCGTCTACACAGCAGGGACTTTGAAATAAACATTTTGAATGCACACATGAACACGCACTGAAAATCCACGTTTCTTGCGTCTTTATTTTATATTCGTGCGTTTCACGTTCCTAAAAACCGAAATGAGTAAGAATAGCGTTAACCAAAAAGTTCAAGAAATGTACTGTTGTAAAGAAAGCAGTTGCATTCTTATTGCAACCGCTATTGTGTTTTACTACTCTCATCCGTATCATTCCGAAGATATCCCGGATGTCAGTCTGAGCGAGATTAGGATGGCTCTCCAGCACCTTAAAAACGGTAAGGCCCCAGGCGAGGATGGAATTACAGCGGAGCTTCTGAAAGCGGGTGGAAGACCGGTACTTGAAGTCCTTCAGAAGCTATTTAATTCCGTCCTCCATGGTGGCATTACACCGGAGGCGTGGAGCAGAAGTGCGGTGGTCTTGTTCTTCAAGAAAGGTGACAACGCTCTCTTGAAGAACTACAGACCGATTTCCCTTCTCAGCCGCGTCTACGTGCTGTTTTCGAGAGTCATTACGAATCGTCTCGCGCGCAGACTTGACGACTTCCAGCCTCCCGAACAAGCCGGTTTCCGAAAGGGCTTTAGCACCATAGACCACATACATACCCTTCGGCAAGTTGTACAGAAGTCCGAAGAGTACAATTTGCCACTATGTCTGGCGTATGTGGACTATGAGAAAGCCTTTGATTCCGTCGAAATTTGGGCGGTGCTGCAGTCCCTTCAGCGGTGCCAAGTTGACTGTCGGTATATCGAAGTGTTGAAGTGCTTGTACAGTAGAGCTACGATGGCTATCCGAGTACAGAACCAGAGTACGAAACCTATCCAATTGCAGAGAGGTGTAAGACAGGGTGACGTCATATCCCCGAAACTCTTCACCGCTGCATTGGAAGACGTTTTCAAGCTTCTGGACTGGAAAGGATACGGTATCAACATCAATGGCGAGTACATCACTCACCTTCGATTTGCCGACGATATAGTCCTTATGGCAGAATCGCTGGAGGACCTAAGCACTATGCTCAATGACCTCAATAGTGTTTCCCAACGGATAGGTCTTAAGATGAACATGGACAAAACTAAGATCATGTTTAATGTCCATGTCACACCTATGCCGGTAGTTGTTGGGAACACTAAGCTCGAAGTTGTTGACGAGTATGTTTACCTGGGACAAATAGTCCGACTGGGTAAGTCCAACTTCGACCGAGAGGTCAATCGACGGATTCAACTCGGCTGGGCAGCGTTCGGGAAGCTACGACACATCTTCTCGTCAGACATACCTCAAAACCTTAAAACGAAATTGTACAACCAGTGCGTGTTGCCAGTGATGACTTACGGAACTGAGACGTGGTCCTTCACTGCTGGCCGTATGAGGAAGCTCAAGGTCGCTCAGCGAGCTATGGAGAGGGCTATGCTCGGAGTTTCTCTGCGTGATAAACTTAGGAATGAGGATATCCGCAGTAGAACCAGAGTGACCGACATAGCCCAACGGATTAGTAAGCTGAAGTGGCAGTGGGCCGGCCATATAGCTCGAAGAACCGACAACCGATGGGGAAGAAAGGTTCTCGAGTGGCAGCCTCGTACCGGTAGGCGAAGTGTAGGGCGTCCCCCCACGAGATGGAGTGACGACCTGGTAAGACATGCAGGAAGTCGATGGATGCAGGTGGCTCAGGACCGTGTTTTGTGGCATTCTTTGGGGGAGGCCTATGTTCAGCAGTGGACTTGTGAAGGGCTGTAATGATGATGACTCTCATCCGTACTATTTTGGTAAAATAGAACGTGATCTGAGTCAACAAGGATAACTCGTGGCTCGGCCCGAGCAAACTCTGATCGGATCAACGCGGCTTTACGAAAGCCAATTTTAATAAAAAAAAGTGTATATGTACATGAGGATATGAGATACACAACTTACCAACAAAATAACTCCAGCAACAATACTCCATATATCTTCGACCACAGAAGCGGAGAAACCAAGTGCATTGAAAGCACTATTAGTAACGGAAAAAAGTTTAGAATCATGTGCAGTTGCGCGCTCGCTGCCCAATATCTTGTACACCTCACTAGAGCTCAGGCCGTATTTCTTTGTATATGCATTATTGGTGCTTAACAACTGCAACAAAATACATAGTTATTGTTAGTTTAGGTAAACATAGTAGTACCACAAGGTAGTTCTTTAAGTCCACTTCCTTTCTTTATAGATATCAACTTCAAATGCCTATAATTACCAGACAAAGACCTCTTGTATAGAAAAAAGAATGAGACTTAATTGTTACACTTGAAGTGCCTAGCAACATCAGTAAGAAACCCACAAATTTCGTTAAAAGGAATTTTAGGAGTGTGCAAGAGCAGATGTTGGACAAAACTTACCAGTATTTTCCAAAATTGATTCTTTAGACACCCATAAGTCTAGATGGACTATGGAATTTCTTAAGGCGCAGGTTGAGCAAAATGTCGCGCTAGTCGTTATTTGTGTGGTTTTTAGGAGCTATCTACTTTTTATTTAAAAGATATATCAACAAATAAAAAACACATTATATTTCTACATAATCTTGATTCCATAAAAGCTATATCCAATTTTTTTTTAAACGAATAAATATTAATATAATCTCCTTACAACGAAACCACATAAATGTGAAATTATTATTGATAACATGCATTAAAAATAAAATAAGTATTATTTTATTTTGCGATTTACACCAATGGATAGGCAATTTATTAATGAACTATATATATATATAGTAAAATTTTTTTCAAAAGACCAAAATTTGATTTTATTAAGAAATTATTTTAAAATCTGGGCGTATTCAATGCTCACGGGCTTGCTGGAGTCAGTGAGCCCTGAGCTCTTCGACGTGGAACCCGTGTCGTTAGAGCGTCTGCCAGCGCCGTGTGCGCTCACGTCATCTTATCAGTCGATAACATTATAATATTATTACTTATTAGGTTATTTATAGGTAGTATTATTTGTTTGTTTTGGGTATAATTTTTCGTATTAGTTATACATATATTTGTTGTGTTTTTTACTGCGCGATGAAGCTTTTTGCGTGTATTTTCTTTGAAGTAAATGCAAATAAAAAAATGAAGCACCATTAGCATGTAAGGTTCGAATCCATAATTAAAATTTCGACAAATATTATAATTTACACTATAAAAGACTAATTCAATATTATCACCCAACCACAATATTTTATTAAGTATAGTTCTGCCTCGTTGGTCTAGTGGTTGTAGTAGTGCGACTGCAGATCATGAGGTCCCGGGTTCGAATCCTGGGTCGGGCCAAAAAGTCAGTTATGAGTTTTTCATTTATGTTCTAAGTTATAATTAGTATTACTAAGTTATAGTTTTTTGCTAAAATATAGTATATTATTTATTGCTTGTTTTTTCTTCTTTTTCAAAAAATAATTGAGTAAATAAGGTGTTCTATACTTATAATTCGGTAAAAAGTATCTAAGTAGGTACTAATATACCTACTTTTTACTATTAACTAAAAAAATTTAAAACTAAATTTAACTAAAAAGACTAAACTGACCATTTATTTTTTAACTCAAAACAGGACATGGGTTTATTTATACTCTAAAAACTATAACTTTATACAATTAGTGTTCACTGTAAAATTATATTCGGTATAGACGGTAATTATTAAATGCAACATATTTTTTTTAATTATTAATTACATTTGTCAGTGGATTAAATTTGCTTTAATAAAGTTGGTGATGATTTTAAATAAAAATAAAATTCTGCTCAAGTTTTTTTTATTGTTATCTTTGTTAACAACATCGCCTTTAGAACTCTGGAACCGTAAGTGTTTCTTTCAGACGTCCACAATTTATTCAAAATAAAAAAATACTCTTTCTATCGGAGCATTCGTACCAGGTAGACATAAAATATATTCGATTAAAAAAAATTATGTTGAAGATTGTTGACTTTGAATACTTCCATCCAACGAGTTACGGGACAATTTTGTGTCCCGGAGGTTTGTTTGGGGACAATGGGACAGGTGACCGAGAAAAGGGACAGTCCCGTTCAAAACGGGACGTATGGTCACTTTAGCTATAACCCGGCGACGGCTCCGTGACGTAGTGGCTTAGCAATCAGTTGTTGCGCTGGGGGCCGCGGGTTCGAATCTCGCACGGAACAAATATTTGTATGGCCTACAAATAATTGTTCCGGGTCTGGATGTTTGTCCTTGTGCAATTTATGTTTGTAAACTGCCTCCACGACACAGGAGAAAATCCTAGTGTGGGGGTAACGTTTTTATACAATTGAAATTGAAAGATTGAACCCTTATACTTCTTGTTGATTTTTGTATTAGTAGGTAAGTATATTACTTTTCAATACGTGACACGTAAAATTAACAATAATCAAAAACACATCTACGAAACATCCTATTTATTTATTTATTCTTTATTGCACCAAATATTTGTACAAAAGGCGAGCTATCTATCTATTTACCTATAGTGAGTAGGTATCTTTTAAACTCATAATTTTCAATGCTTCATTTTTAATATATAATTAATTATAAAATTTCATAATTAGATAATATATGAAAATACATAATTCTAATATAATGCAACTAATATACCGAATAAAAAAATTAAAATACATTTATCGTTGTATGCTGTGTGTATTTCCATAAATTAGTTCATTGATGTTGAAAAAATAATACTACGTTCGTACCTACAATAGGTGGTGGCGTCGTACATATTTCAAATAAGCAATATATTGAGGCGAGCGGCGTGCCGCCGGCAAAATGCTCAAGGTCGTTCGCATGGAGTAGCCCCTTAATCTGTCACGACATAAAGAATGTGTAAAAGTAATAGTCTAGATATGTCCTTGGCAAGGCAAGGTTTGTACACATCGGCAGAATTGGCGAGAAGCTAGTTCGCCTTCCTTCGAGAACCCGTGCATTCTGGTCTCTCGCCAAGATTGTCCAAGGGAACTTCTGTCAGCCATCTCTTCCATCTCTGCACAGAGAGGACGACTTACTGGCCCATGCCGCAAAGGAGAAAGCTGATCTGTTAGGCTCTCTCTTTCTGTCCAACTCGACTCTCGATGGCGGGGGGAACACACCACCGACCATCCCGCAGTGCGAGTGTTCCATGCCGAATGTGCGGTTTATAAAGCACTCGGTTCGCAAAGCACTCCTCTCCCAGGACGTCAGCAAGTCGAGTGGGCCTGATAGTCCCTCCCCATTGTGCTGAAGACGCGTGTCCAGAGTTGGAACCGGTTTTAACGCGTCTTTTCCGGTATTCCTACTCTCAACTAATAACAATAAACTCCCGATTAATTCCAGCCGCCAAATTTCACAAACGCACATCGCGTCTAAATTCACGATAAAATCCTCACCTGATGCTTGGCGGTCCACCACTGTGCACTTTACTAGGAGTTTTTTTTCTCGTACAACTTCTCCTTGGAATTGTTTACAATCGGCGATTTTCCGGACCGATACGACTTAGGGACGTTCAAGAAAAGAGCTTACTCCTTTCTAAAAGGTCAGCAACACACCTGCAATTCGCCTTGTGCATGGGCGGCGGTAATCACTTCAGGTGAGCCGCATGCTCGTTTGCCCTTTCTTCTATAAAAAGGTTCTAAGAGGATTTTAGGATAGGCAAGGGTTCGTCACGGTACCTGAACGAGTGTCTGCCTTTGAAATATTTTAGTTTTGAGGACAATGGGAAAATATCGATGCAAAATAGCTACAACATACCATAATTTTTAAATAAGCTTTATGATTTTCCGTCCGGCCGAGGCAATTTCAGTATTCATCACTCTATTTTGTACCGTGGGTGCCGTAAGTGGTGGCTATGAGAAATACCAGAAAAATCATATGGCTTCCGGTAGATGTTTATAGGTATAACCGTTTACGTCAGACCTAAAATACATATATATATACCATAAATATGAAGCCTATTAAGAAATTCTAATACAATAGCACGCCTTTTATTTCATCAAAATATATTATATGGTTATCCCTTTAAAAAAACAGTCATTTTGTTTCATAGCGATTAATTTTTTTTTATCTCGATAAACATAAAATATTTTAACATCTGTTTGATTAAGAATTTACTTGAGTATTTCATGAATGCGCATATTTTTTCCGAGCGTAAATTAAGTTCAAGTAGTTTAAATTCTCTAACGTCAAATTTGTGTCTAAAATATGATATGTTTGTCCAACCTGGTAAACTGTATAATAAAACTTATAGAGATAGTACCGAAACACTGATACAACCTACATAACAAAGCAAAGACAATATAAATTACTCTAGACTAAAACAATAGCAAGAGCAGTTCAAGCCTATGTTTAGACAGCGCTATTGTAAATTCAATATATTGTGATATAACATCAACATTGGATTTATTCCTTCTTCCTACTATTAACGTATTGATTTATTTTCAAAATTGATTTTACTTAACTGTTCAACTTGTTGAAAAATATTTTAGCGATGATTGTACTAATAATTAAAAGCTGAAGGTCCAATTAGTTATGGCATCAGGACGTCAAACTCAGACAGTTCTCCCATGACCATGGGTTCTGCAAAGCATCAATTAGTAAGTAGTCAATGTCCAAGTAGGTAAGCACCTTCGACCAAGAGGTCAGAGCCTAGAGCTCAATGAGTCTAGGTTCTAACCTCTTGGCCTAGACTCAAGCTGATTCAACGTGTGTGAGTTGATGAATGGAAGTGACTCAGACCCTACTTTGTGGTGATATATGGGGAATACTTATTTCCAGCTTTGGACTTGTGATGGATTGTAGTGATACCTATTGATAGTGATAGTGTTTATAAAATTATTCTTACTCTTCCGTTATTGATTATTATGATGTGTAATGATGGTACCCGGCTCGAAGGACCAAAAATGAATGTGTAATGCCATATATATATATATATATATATATATATATATTCGCACATGTACATATATTAACACATATTCATAATATAAATATATTTATATGCCAATAAACAAATATAAACAGACATAAATACATATATAATATATAAAGATATAAATATACATAAATACAAAGTTCATACATACATATAAATACGATTAATTAACAATTTTGTAAATTCTAATGATTATTCAGTAAATGCTCGCGTACCTTTTTTTAAAGGAGTATTTGTTAGATGCTTTTTTTTTGTTTTTTATGCATAAGGGTTTGTAGTCTAACTTCTTGGGAAATTGGTAAAACTGTAGTCTAATCTGCATTTTATGTAAAAAAAGATTAAAAAAGATTTAGATATTTAAAATAATGTTTATTTAAACTTTGTTACGTTGTAAACAGGAAGTAGGAACAAAGCTAAATTCGATAAGTAAATATAGTCATAATTGATATCGCTCAAATGAAATGCAAACATGACGTAAACGATAAAGTTCAATTTCAATGACATTTACAAATACTATTAACCTTATGATATTTATTTCAGGGAAAGGTCATATTATATGGGTAAAAGGTTTACCCGGCAATGTCTATTATACTGTATTTCTTAAATTATAACCCATTCTAATTAAAATTTCGTCAAAATAGTTATTGTATCAAGTTCATCCATCCATTTTGTATTCAAATATATATGTATATATAAATTTGGGGTCACCTCGGGACCACCCCAAGAACTCAATAAAAAAATTTAACCGGTGGAACCATTTCTAACAAAATCGGTAAACAATAAATATAATTAAAAAAATCATACGCGTCGGAAATAGAACCTCCTCGCTTTTGAATTAGTTTAAAATAACGACAAACTGTTTCTATTTAGCATGAACAATGTAACAGATCGAAAAGCTAAAGTGGCAATGGCAAATTACTGAACTTAGGCATCCTCTAAGGAATGCCACAAAGCACAATCCTGAGCCACTTGCATCCATCGAATTCCTGTTAAACAACCAGGTCTTCTTAAACTTAGCTTACAGGTACAGGTACGAGGCCGCCACTTGAAAACCTTTCAGTCCCATCGATTGTCGGCTGCTATATAGCCGGTCCATTGCCATTTCAGTTTATTGGTCCGATGAGGTATGACGGATACACAGTTTCCACTGCTACATCCTCATCATGAAGTTTATCACGCAGATAAACTCCGAAAGTATCTCTCTCCATAATTATCCGAGTAGTAATCCGATTTAAATTTGAATTTATTTAAATAGAAAATACTACACTAGCGATCCGCTCCGGCTTTGCACCGGTAATTTCTGAATCTCGACACCAGCTCCACCTACCGGATCCAATTGTATAATAAACTATGCAGAGACTCACTCAAACACGTACAAAAATTTCGTCTAAGTAGGTCCAGACGTTAAGGAGGATTTTAGTGACAAGCACTCGTACAGAAGAATTATATACCTACATATATAATACTAGCTGTGCCCCGCGGTTTCACCCGCGTCATCACGTGTCCGAGGTGCGCGATATGACCTAGTTCAAGCATTTTATAACGGCTAGGGTTTAAGCGTCGTTCGCGCACCCAGCCAAGTATTGAATTATTTTAATTTTACATTATCTCTTAAACTATGCGTCCAAATAACATGGTATAAAGAACAAAGTTTATCTTCATAAAATTGTCTTGATGATGAAGTAACTTTCGTTCGTAAGGATAAATAAGCCATGCCTAATAATAACGCTCATAAATCACTTTTAAATTTTCAATATTTTTTTTGTCACAAAATACCAAATTATGGCTTATGTATAAGAAATAGACATATGGTATCGCGGACTTTTTTTTAGACGGAGTAAAGGTATATATTTTTCTAGAACATTGTATTTACCCTAACGATATCCCTAACGATAACACCAGCGTACGCGGATAAATCATTTCGGTAGTGCTTTTTCTTCTGACTTGCTTAACAAATATCCATATTTAAGGCTAGCTGAGTAATACAGCTTAATGCTAGATAGCCTATACTATTCCACATGAATCTGGCTATAGTATACAATAATAATTTTTCAAATCGGACTGGTAGTTCCAGAGATTAGCGCGTTTAAACAAACAAAAAAACAAAAAAACTCGTCCGCTTTATTATATTATAAGTATAGATGTATAGATAAGTTTCCCTATATAACTATGTTACAAATGAGATTATGAAATTCTATACGCCAAAACAGTAATGACTGCCTACCTGGTAGAAGGCGTGGAAGTTTCTCTCGCCAGGTTGCAAACTGACGACTCTGCTCTTTTCGAGGAGATAATTGCTGATGTGTCCTCCTACCGGGTCGCCTTTGTAGTCAAAGTGGATGTCCATGTACTTGCCGAAGCGTGATGAGTTGTCGTTGCGGTTCGTTTTAGCGTTGCCGAACGTCTCCAGGATAGAGTTCGATTGTATTAATACGTTTTTTACTCTGTAAATAAGAAATTCTACCTCAAATTTTTCGTAATCATCCTTTAATGTTTTAAAAAACACATTTTTTATAGGATAGTGTGACAAACGAGCACACAGTCCACCTGATGGTAAGTGGTTACTGTAACCCATATACATCTACATCGATCCTCAATAAAGAATCAAAATGCAGATGCGTTGTCATCCGTGAGGATTAAGATGGAATGCCACTTTTCCAGTAAAAAGGGTCTCGGGTTCTCCTACACTCACCATACGAAACACAGCAGCGTTAAGCTGCTATTTTACGCTGGTAATCTGTGAGAGCGTGGTCTTTTCCCGGTTGAGCCGACCCATTCATGCTACAACTATACTACTAATATAGCTGCAGTATGACTCTACCACGTATAAAATACGAATTAGAAGAGATATAAGTAAGTATTAATAACATCGATGAGCTAATAATTTGTAACGATGCATTTTCATCTTACTCCTTCAGGGTTTAAAAATAATATTACCATGAATGTGGTATTGTGATAGTGGTGTTTACCGTGTAGTGGTAGTGTATGAATATTCACAATCCAATATCGTTCTGAGGATATGGTAAGAAACGATAGAAGGTAACAAACTAGAAGACTATGCGGGAGACCTATGTTCAGCAGTGGACTTTTATAGGCTATAATGGAAAATAACACTGGCATAGGTAGACGACAAAACTTAGAAAAGTCTGTGTGTATCACCTGTCAATATACTCTCTGTGCACTTGCGTAGTGTTGGCGGCGATGTATTTCATGATGAACTTCGAAGCTTCAGTCTTGCCAGCGCCCGACTCACCCGAGATCAACACGCACGTGTCTCTACCCTGAAAAATATTTGAATACTTTTAGACATAATATTGTGACGGGAGGTGTTCCTCAAAGTAAGGGGACGTGAGACACATCATTTTATTTTATTAGGCGGATTTTAGCTAATTAATTTTTAACATCTTTAAAATAATATATTATGTAACCTGCACGGAAACTTTCCACGACCGCCCGACAAGTGTTTGGTACGAGGCGCGTTCAATGTATTCTCGGATAAAATTATGAAATATTTTTTATTTTTCCATATAGTCTTCGATGATGACATCAATTACGTGCTAGCTTATTACGTGGTAGAGCCAAGCTGCAGCTATATTTATAGTATAGTTGTAAAATAGCAGCTTAACACTGCTGTGTTTCGTATGGTGAGCGTTGAGAACCGGTGACCCTTTTTACTAGAAAATAGTCATTCCATATTAGTCCTCAAGGCTGACAACGCATCTGCATTTTAATTTGCAAGAAAGAAGAGATGTAGATGTCTATGGGCCTCAGCAACCACTTACCATCAGATGGACAGTGTGTTCGTTTGTCACGCTATTTCTATAAAAAAAATCAATACATTTACTAGAACGTGAATTGTTTTTTTATTCCCTTGAAAATATATTCTTCGTCGTGGCCTGAAAAATTCTCATTTACAGCGGACTTAAGCTCGTTATCGTCAGCAAATCGCTTTCCCTGAAGGTCATTTTTTAAGTACGGGAATAAAAATTTGTCACTTACTAGATCTAGATCTAGAAGCAGCACTCCCTTAGTCAGCTTTCCTCTTCTCTTTTCTTTTATTGCTTTATTTGCGTTAATGGTTTCACCTTTTTTGTATACTCCATCAGTAAGTATTCCTTTGGAATCAACACTGTTGCCATGATTTTACTGGCCGATGGAATGGCTTTGAACTTCTTGGCGGATGGGGGTGGGCGAGGGGAGGGGCATTGATCCCCTTTTTATGCAATTGCATAGATTCCTGTTTACTCTCAGGGTCATAGTGGTGAACACGCGTTTCATCTCCTGTAACTATCCCATAGAAAACACTTGTTGGGTCGTCACCACACAGCTCTAAAAACTGCCTACAACAGTCAACCCGCGCCTGCTTTTGAAGCGCAGTGAGCATTCGCGGCACCTATCTTACACTGACTTTTGTAAGGTTGAGATAGTAATGCAATATGATGTGTATGGTACCAACGGATAGGTTAGTTATTTCTGCTAACATCTTAATTTTTACTACTACTTTCTAATACAATTTTTTCAATAATTTCCACATTTTCCTCTGTAGCCGCTGTGATTGGTCCACCCGGGCGGAGTCATTTTCGATGTTTTTCCTGTCTCTTATAAATTCACTTGACCAATTCTGTACAGTTGACATTGAAGAAGCAGAATCTTGGTAAACGGCAACCATTTATTCATGCATATTTTTTTGAGTTTTTCCTTGTTTAGTGAGGAATTTAATCACCGCACGGTGTTCGATTTTTTCTAACATTGTCAAGTCAGTCCTTCCAGTCGTCTATGACTGAAGGTTACATAAGAAAGTAGTGTCCTTAGCTAATGATTTTTTTTTAATAACTATGTGGGTAATTACCCATATTATTAGCAAATCACCCTAATACCGAAAATACATTGAACGCCCCTCGTGGCATGGATATCATCGCTTATATTTTCTTTTAATTCATTAGTAGATGCTGGATTGCTTAAAACTTTACTCATTAGATATCCCGAAAGATAAATCCATCGAGCACAAATCAGGATGGCCAGTCAATGTCACCTCTTTTGAATATAATTTTCTGACCAAAAAACATATTTAGCTTAACAGTTGTTGGTTGTGTGATGGCCCATCTTAATTAAACCATGATCTAGTCCTGCAATGCTGGAGCAAAGTTTCGTAGCATTACAATATATTGCTCTGTGTTAACATTACAATAACGGGACGGTCCTGGTCTTCATAGAAATATGGACCGATGATCCCCCTGCGGATGCAGCGACCTATTCAAATATATCGGTAGGTGTATACAGACTTGGTCCTGTATACACCTATCGATTTATAAAAATTTAATGACACCTAAGTTTTTTTTTATAAATAAAAGACAATCTTAAAACATACATAAATAATATGTCTTACATTTATTTACTTCTGTTATAAAAGCCCCGTTTCTTTACCCTATTCCATAAATATCTTCAAACGTCGACTTGCAAAGAGGTAATTCGGGTTATTTCGACGCATATTTTGCGGCCAGCGTTCGTGCATTGTCTCGTTCTGACAAAATGTTTCTTGATATTATGACGGCGGCATCGTAAAGCCGGGTATGATATTTGGTACAGTTGGACGGACCACCAGTGTTTTATGACGATACATACATATTATATGTTGAGTCTAATGGAGTTATTTAGTTTTATTATTATGTTATTCATAACAAAATGTACTTACTGTTTTGTATTAGTATAATTTTGTAATGCATACAGCAAAGGAGTGGAATAATTTGCCGGTGTCTTCTTTCCGTCCCAATATAATCTGGGCATCTTCAAGGCAAGAGTGCGATTTACCGTCTAAGGCTGCATCACCACTTACCACCAGGTGGGATTGTGGTCAAACACTGGCTTATAATAAGTAAAAAAAATTAACATCGAGAATCGATGTTAAGAAGTACTAAAGCCTAAAATTAAGCTTTTCCTTTTTTTTAAACGTAAGGAATATTACAACATATAATGTCGTCTACATAGTCATTAAAAACTTTATCCCTTTTTTTCCTTCTTTTATGAGACTAACCCCAAGTCATAAGTTATTTAATTTAAATAATTTAAAATAAAAAATTTTGTACAGCCGACTTCAATATAAATTATTAAGAATAACTCAAAAACTATTGGTCTGACCTTGATTAAATTCATATGGGACCACATGTGAAGTACCAGCTTTCAAATAAAAAAAGAATCATCGAAATCGGTTCACCCAGTAAAAATTATGAGGTAACACCATCGATCACTAAATTAGTGATCGATGGGTAACACATAAAAAAACACAGTCGAACTGAATACTGTCTCCTTTTTAAAGTCGGCAGAAAAATCATTAAAATCGGTTCTCAATTGACAAATATATATACGAAAAAGTATACTTATATCAATTTGAAGTGGGCTAAAAACATTTTTAAACTAATAAAAAGCCCCCGTAAGCATAACATGGTATTTTATAGAAATAATTATCTGGCTCAAAGGAGCACAATAATTAAATCTAAAGTCTAAAGAACTATCTGTAATTACATACAAACCGTACAGATTAAAATGACAGCAGCTAATTTTGGATATTCAATACTATAACAATAATATTTATATCAATCCTAGATAGCTATTAAGGAATTGACGAGCTCCCAGATTTACACGAGCGAAGTCTTACACGAAAAGTTATCACAGATTACAGTTTCCGATTTTTAATCGCTTTGGTGCTAACCAAAGCGATTAAAATCTGAAAGTGGATTGATCTTATTGCATTGTGTTATTAGTGAAGTGGCATAATGCATCAGAATTTAATTAATTTAATAGTCAATTGTTATTAATCCTAAATCCAATGCTGTAACTACTTTGTACCTTGAATCTTACATTTTATAAAAGGAGATTAAACGAAGGTTATGTGTAGGTACGGCTTCAATGGCAACGCTTCACAACGACATAAAAGTTCACATTGTACCAAAACAAAATCAACCTAAACCTCACAACTTATAGTAGTTTTTTATTAATTTAATCCGATTTTTATATTTGTTAGTAAAATATAATTTATTGGTCAATATGCTTAATGCTGAGTTGATGACCTTTTTGTTGTTGCAATTACGGCTATGTTTGGACTATACATTTGTGACTAAATTTTTTTACAAAGTTGACAAAGGAGTACACAGTCAACATGATACATATACATCATTTATGATATTTTTTTGTTAAGAATAAGGGTGACAAACGAGCACACATTTCACCTAATGGTAAGTGGACGTTGTGGCCCACAGATATGTACAACTATCATTGATTAAAACCCAGTGCAACCAGTGCGCTTGTTGCCAATAATGAGTTACGGAACTGAATCTTGCTCCTTCATTGCTGGTCGTGTGTAGACTCAAAGTCACTCGGCGTGTGATAGAAAAGGCTATGTTTGGAATGTTTCTGTGTGATAAAATCCGTAACAAGGATATCCATAGAAGAACAAGAATAACTGACATAAATCAGCGGTAAGCTAGAGTGGCAATAAACCGCCGAAGATCCGACAACCGATGAGGAAGAAAGGTTTTCGAGTGGCAGCCTCCTATTGGAAAGAGCAGTGTGGGGCGGTGAAAAGTCGATGTATGCGGGATGCTCAGGACTGTACCTAGTGGAAATCTATGCGGTAGAGGCCTATGTTCAGCAGTGGACTTGTGATGGGTTATAGTAATAGAAAATGTTTTTTTTTTTTATAGCAGAGGGGGCTAACGAGCATGCGGCTCACCTGATGGTAAGTGACTACCGCCGCCCATGAACAACCGCAACACCAGGGAGGGAATTGCAGATGCGTTGCCGGCCTTTTAAAAAGGAGTACGCTCTTTTCTTGAAGGTCCCTAAGTCGTATCGGTCCGGAAAAATCGCTGATGGTAATCGATTCCACAAGGAAGTCGTGCGAGGAAGAAAACATCTTCTAAATCGCACAGTGGTGGACCGCCAATCATCCAGATGGTGTGGATGGTATCGGGAGTTCTGGCGCGATGTGCGTTCGTGAAATATATATGTACAATGTAGTGATAATATCGCATTATAGTATAAGCATGAATTGACCGCCTTGTTGGCACTTGGCCAAGTGGACACAAATGTGACTGCTGATCATGTGGTCCCTGGTTCGAATCCCGGGTAAGCCCAAAATCAGCTAAATATGGGTTTTTCTGTTAACAAATCATCAGTGGCAGACGGGAATCGAGAATTAAATGTTTTACCTCCGTGCCGTGGAAAGCACGTAGAGTCGTGAGTCCTGGTCTATCTCCGGTCGTGTCGGATTGTGGTCCCATCGGACTATGAGAGAGAGAGAATAGAGAGTGCACCTTACTCGCGTATTAACTTGGGCTATATAATCCTGTCCTGCGCAGACGACTAGTCTCTGTTAATACTGGCCGCCGTGACCGAAATTCGATTTGGAGGCCATTATTATTATTATAAACCGCAAATGTTATGTTACAAAACAACCACGATACCTACACTTAAATATCAAATGACCTAGAACCTAGACCTAGAAACTAGATCTTGCTAAACTAGATGCTATTGCTTAAATAAGTTGCGGTCTAGAAAATCGACATCAACCGTCAAAGTCATAATGATGTAGAACACAACATTCGATTTGAATTATATATTATGGGATCCTCAGTACATATCCGAGCTCGTTCTGCGTAAATCGGATCGATTGTATAATATAAATAAATAAAGCGAAGGCAGCCCTGTGACGTCAAACACTTAACACTCCCGTGACCATGAGTGCTGTAAAGCATCCAAGACGGTGGGAATGAGGGGTAATAATTTTAAGCTCAACAGATGTCGCTAGTTGGACTAAGATGAACTTTTTACACATGAGTGACATCATCACTTTTCTTGAAAGTGTATGCTATTGGCCCTGCGGCCTTCATAGCTTCTTCGAAATAGGCTCGTAAGCGGGGACCTACCACCTATGGGGGGCTCGATTCAAGGTCGCCTCAGAAGGAGGTACGACCCTCGGCTTTCTAATGTGTGTACGGTGTATTATTATCATTATTACATAAACCCACATAATTATATTAATCTAATCTTTCAGAAATAAACATTAATCTACAGTTTTTCAACAAATTACAGCTATGAAATCTGTCTTGTACGACTTTTACTGCCGCTTCATTTAACTTCCCCTCATTAAAAATAAATAGCGTAATAGCGTAAAATAGCAGCTCAATATTGCTGTGTTTCTTAAAGCGTGTGTGGGGAACTAGATACCCTTATTACTGGAAACGAGGCATTCCATCTTAGTCCTCAGGGTTGGCAGCGCATCTGCATTTTGATTCTTAATCGAGGATAGATATAGACGTCTATGGACTACAGAATCCACTTACCATCGGGTGGACCGTGTGCTCATTTATCACTGTTATTATACTTAAAAAAAAATTAAAATTCGTAAAATTAGTTTTATTCAATTTAGTTGCTCACCTGCTGCCTAAGCACCCGCTGACACGCGTCGGCCACGGCGTACACGTGCGGCGGTACCTCGAACATCTCCCGCCCCCGGTACTGTGCCATGTGCTGTGCATTGTAGATGTCCAGACTCTTGTACGGGTTGACTGACACCAACACTTCCCCGATGTACGTATAGATCTTGTTGTGTTGAAACCTGTGTTAAGACAATAAGGTATGTTGATTATTGTAACGTCAGTTTTTATACGTAGTAGAGTCACGCTGCAGCTATATTATGGTTGGAGTACGAATGGGTGGCTCGACAGGGGTAGGACGCTCTTACAGAATACCAGCGTAAAATGCTGTGTTACGTATGGTGAGTGTAGAGAACCAGAGACCATTTACTAGGCGTTCCTTCTTCGTCCTCAGGAATGACAAAGCATCTGCATTTTATCCTTAATCGAGGATAAATGTAGATGTCTATGGGCCATAGCATCCACTTATCATAAAATGGACTATTTACTCGTTTGTCACCTACATTCGATAAAAAAGTCCTGTGTGACACAAGCTTCCTCATTTGAACCTCTAAATACCTATAGAGTATGGATAAAACTGCTGCGGTGCGGTTTGGCAAACTTAGACATCGGAATTATTTTAATGTCTCAGACTTACATATTTGACAACAATGGTTTCCGTTATAGCGGGTTCACACGAGTCGACTTTAGTAGATCAACAGCGAAAATGGCAGCGAGAGCTAGATCTAGCGCATTTGTAAGTCTAAAGCGCATCTGAAAATTTTAACGTCTAGCCGCAAACTTTTTTATTTATTTATTTAATCTTTAGTGTAAGACACCTTAATCAAAGGGTTACAATAGTCGGACTTAATACCTTATGACTTTATTTACCATCAACCCTGGTAAAAATACAGAAATAAAATTTAGCGCTTTATTATACTTTATTACTTTATTTGCGATATGGCAGCACAGTTTTTTTTTATGTTGTACAGCCGTAGAGGGAAGTTTCTTCTACCCATACAGCAGAATTTTCGATTTGAGTCTATGATCTGTTAAGGGGAATCCCCTTTAATACGCAAATGTTCATTCGAGCTCACAGTCATCGATTATGTTTAGGTTCGAGCATTTGTTCTCATTCATTCCATAAATGTCACAAATTAATAAAAAATACATCAACGCAGTCTATATGTATTATGTGCACGCTTTGAGATTATATATTACAGCCATAAAAGTCAACTGCTAAAGATAAACATCCCCCATTTTTTGCCTTATAGGAGGATTTTGTTATAGTATCTGGATGATTGGCGGTCCACCACGGTGCGATTTAGAAGATGTTTTCTTCCTCGCACGACTTCCTTGTGGAAGCGATTACCATCAGCGATTTTTCCAGACCGATACGACTTAGGCACCTTTAAGAAAAGAGCGTACTCCTTTTTAAAAGGCCGGCAACGCATCTGCAATTCCCTCCCTGGTGTTGCAGTTGTTCATGGTAGTTCGGCGGTAGTCACTTACCATCAGGTGAGCCGCATGCACGTTCGCCCCCTCTCCTATAAAAAAAAATGTTCAACTGAACTGTAGTGCAATCTGTACAAACTAAATATTGCGTAAATTGAGGATTTGTGAATTCCATAAAATTATTATTATTACATTTTATTTAGAAATATGTTTGTTTAGATTAAATTAAGATATTTTATATTAAATTCTTATATTTATTTTATATTAATATCTTATTTTATATCAAATTACTCTTCGCACATGCGCGACTACTACTCCCGCGCATGCCCGAATACATAGAGTAAGACAAAATTTTTGTTTGGAATGGCTTCTCTAGTACGTAGTACATATAACTCAATGGGAACATAGCATTTACCTTACCTACTTACTTACCTATTTTAAATAATATTTGCTGAGGAATTAATAATCAAATTTAAGGACTTTAAAATTTTTGTTAATAAAACTTAACATTTCTAGCTTTTCTGACAATCTTAACAAAGTAACTAACAAAATAAAGTAACCTTTATTTGAATCAATCCAGCAGTGGAAAATATCCTTTCCAACGCTACGCTCCAACGGACGATGGTTTGCTTGAAAGATATATATATTTTTTTTTGCTTTACATTAACAATTTGAATAAATTCCTTTGAAAATAAGTCATAAATAACCACAATGATAATCGTCGATTACGATTAATCGTAATCGAAATCGTTTCATCCCTAGTATAAACATCTTCAAAAAATGTAAAATGAGAAAACTCATATCTACTAACATTGAAAAAATTAATCTATAAAATATGACATGTCTAATATATTAATAATGTAAAATTATGATATATGATTATGAGTTTACAACTTGGGCTATTAGATGTATTATGTATATATTAGATGAATCGCTGACACGCAACAAGGGATACCAGACGACAGGTATTTGCCTGACATGTCAGGAGTTACATTTTTTTTATTACATTACTTATATCTAGTTACAACAAAAGAATACAAAGGGCGGACTTAATGCCTTGAGGTTGAGGCATTCTCTACCAGTCAACCCAAATGATGATAATTTGACCTACTTAAGTGTAGTAATATAGAATAAAAAAACAAAATAAAAATAATAATTAACTAGGTAATCTAATATATAAAATTCTCATGTCGCGGTGTTTGTTACCAACTCCTCCGAAACGGCTGAACCGATTTGTATGAAATTTTGTGTGCATATCGGGTAGGTCTGAGAATCGGCCAACATCTATTTTTCAAACCCCTAAATGATAAGGGTAACCCACGCCTAAATATTTTTTGTATTTTTATGACAATTTTATTTTTTATTTTATTATGATTTAGCATTGAAAAATACATAAAACATCAAATTTTCACCCTTCAACGATCAATCTCTGTTTTTTAATCGCAAAGTTTTAAAAATAAAAAATATTTCCTAGTAATAATGTATATGGCAAAACAACGTTTGCCGGGCCAACTAGTAATTATATACATTTTACTAATAAATAAAGTACCTATACATATGGTCATAAGTTCTGTCAAAACCTTATTATTTAAAATTTTTCAATACTGGCTAGATGAACTTCACCAATATTAAAAATATATCTAACGTTTGCGCTTGACGAAAATAAAAAATATATTAATTTTCATTCATTTTCAAATATGGAATGGTCGAAGAAAGAAGATAGAGTAGCGGTTCGCGTTGCACCGCTGTGGTTACGCGCCAAAAGAGATTTTCAGTATTCTACAAAAATTGAAAATAACCCTACGATTTGTTTATCGCACTATCAAACGATTCACTAAAGATTCAAGCTTCGAAGATCGTAACAGGACCGGCCGACCTCGTACAGTTAGGACACCCGCGATTATCAAAGCAGTGAAGGCGCGAATCCAACGAAATCCTGTTCGTAAACAAAAAATCTTAGCTCTTCAGATGGGCCTAAGCAGAACCACGGTCAAAAGAGTGATCAATGAAGACCTAGGACTACGAGCTTATCATAAGAAGACCGGACATTTTTTGAACGAGTGTTTAAAAAAAATTAGGCTGGATAGATCCCGCGCTTTATTACGGCGGTACGCGGGAAAAAAATACCGCGAAATTTTGTTTTCGGATGAAAAAATTTTTAACATCGAAGAAAGTTATAATAAACAAAATGATAAGGTGTTTTTTGAACGAGTGTTTAAAAAAAATTAGGCTGGATAGATTCCACACTTTGTTGCGGCGGTACGCGGGAAAAAATACCACGAAATTTTGTTTTCGGATGAATAAATTTTTAACATCGAAGAAAGTTATAATAAACAAAATGATAAGGTGTATGCCCACAGCAGTGAAGAAGCCAGCACGCGTATTCCGAGGGTTCAACGAGGACAATATCCTCCGTCACTCATGGTTTGGCTTGGAGTCTCATATTGAGGCTTAACTGAGGTGTTTTTCTGTGAAAAAGGTGTAAAAACCAGTGTCGAGGTGTACCAAAATACCGTCTTAACAAACATAGTGGAACCTCTTTCTCAAACAATTTTCAAAAACAGACATTGAATATTCCAACAGGACTGCACCAGCTCATGGGGCACGAGGCACGCAAAACTGGTTGACCGCCCGTGGAATTTATCGGACATGAAGACTGGCCCTCTTCTAGTTCAGATTTAAACCCACTGGATTACAAGATATGGCAACATTTGGAGGAGAAAGTCTGCGCTAAACCTCATCAGAATTTGGAATCTCTCCGAGCATCGTTGGCTAAAGCAGCGGCAAAAATAGATAAGAATGTGGTGCGTGCTGCGATTGATGATTGGCCGCATCGATTAAGGGCACGTATTCAAAATAGGGGAGGGCATTTTGAATAATGTAAATAAAATTGTATTTTAAATTACCTTTCATTTCATATATAATTTCTATATAATTATCAAAAAGTGTATCATGAATTTTATAAAAAAATTTTGATAGAACTTATAACAATTTGTTAGGAAATCAGGCCATCTGTCAGGAAATCAGGAATTTTTTTAATTTGTCATGGTATTATTTAAAGAGAACGAATAAATTATTGAAAGAAATCTATTTTTTGAGTGACAAAAATAACTAAAAATAATCAAAATAACTATAAATCAATCTTAAAGAGAACTAGATATTCTTACTTATGTTCCATTAGTGTTGCATTTTAAAAGTCAGGAAATTTGACGAGTAATCAGGAATTTTATCAGGACAACTTATTTTTCGATCTGGTAACCCTACATGCAACCCGATGCGAGCTTCAGAGGTCGCTGACCTAAAAACCTTTACAATTTTTGGCACACGATGACTTGTCGGTTGCCTTAGCAATGTTTAAAAAGGTTTTGTGTTTTGTTGTTTGTTATTTAACAATAACGCCGTCTTTGACACGCCATTAAAACCCGAGTCACACATTTATCATCATGATCATTCCATCCATTCACAAATCTACAGCTGAACATAGCTCTCAATACCAAAGCACGGTCCTGAGCCATCCTATTCATGCATCTCTTACCAGTTCGTTACTCCATCTAGTGGGGGCCACCCTACACTTACCGGTACGAGGCTACCGCTCGAAAACCTTTCATCCCTATCCATGGTCGCATCAAGTGGGGGCTGCCGTACACTTCGCTACTGGTACGAGGCTGTCACTCGAAAACATTTCTTCCCCATCGATTGTCGGTTCTTTGAGCTATATGGCCGTCACATTGCTACTTCAACTTAGATC